AAAAAAGGCATTTATATCTAGACTAGTACTAACGCAATAGGACCTAGCTAAAGAAACATTATTAGAAGCAGACTATTTAGGATACGCTCTTAGGGGTTACTTATTGTAGAAAGTTAGGGGCGTCTAGCGCCTAGTTACTTACTACTCTATAGCACTAATACTAGAGAGACGAAACTACACTATATACAACAAGAAATTGCTAGCTATTATTAAGTATCTTAAAAGCTAGTTAGCAGAATTATAGAGTGTTTATAAACTATTTATAATATTTATAGACTATAAAAACCTAGAGTATTTTACTAGCCTTTAAAGCTTAAGCAAGTAATAGTGCTGCTAGGCAGAGGAACTTTCTAAATATTAGTATATCCTATAGTATAGACCTAGCTATCTTATAGGATAACCTAATACCTTAAGCAGGTAACTATAAGACTTAAACCCCTTTAAAGCAATACTATAGTTAGTAATACGCCCTAAATTAATTTAGGTTACAGTATTAGAAGTAGAGGAGGCGTCTAAGTTACTAAAGGGCGCTAGCCTTTTTACTAACCTGTATATACAGACACTATAGGACAAAGCAGTATTAGAAGATAAGACATACTAAGTGCGTCTTAATATAGTTTAGAAAGGCGCTAGGTCTTTCCTAGTTCTAGCTAATATAAAGTAATAGATTAGGGACTATATAATTAGCGCACACAGCACTTTACTTTAGAGGGGCGTTATTTAGTTGCTAATATAGGAACCCCTTACAACTACTATTATATAGCAAGCATATAAATTAGGTTTAGTAGGATATCTAGGAAAGAATATAATATTTCAAATACTGCGCTGTAACTATTATTAGGATAGAATATTAGGAGATGTTACGTAGTATATTTAGAACTGCTATTATTATAGTGCTTATATCTCCTAGAAGCGCTAATAGGGTCTATTATAACCTATACTAGTTGCGTTATAATACTAGTCCTAAATATCTATAGATTTTATAGTTAACCTACCTATAAAAGATAATAGTAAACCTTAGTACCTATTAGTTATTACTAATAGATTATCTAAATATATTTAGCTTAAAGCAACAGTCTCTATAGTAGCTAATTATTGTGTAAGGATCTTCTAGGATAACTAGTAGTAGTTCTAGGGCTTCCTATCCTCTATTATTACTAACTAAGGTTCTAACTAGTTAGGATCTTTCTAGATAACGTTATACTAGATAATAAAGATAAACTAGTTACTATCTACTACATACCACCCTTAGATAGACAGCGGGACAGAGCGGGTAAACTAAGAAGTGCAGGTAGTGCTGCGCATAATAGTATGCTTTAAGCAGACTAACTAGCCTAACTACCTACTAGCCTACTAACTTGCACTTAATAATAGGGACTCTAGTATAACTAGTGTTAGCCTAAATCTACTTTTAAATAGGTATACTATAGACACGCTATAAAAGTTAATATTACTACTAGTAAAGCCTAAGAATCCTTATAGAGAGGCTGTAGCGTTCTTGTCGCACCTATAGAGGGGTGTGGAGCTAGCGCAAGCTGCTATTGCGTTCTAATAGTAATAATAATAGGAAATAATAAACTAGTCCTAACGCCTAGCTAAAAAGTTCCTAAAAGGTAATATAGTTTAGTTTATAATGCGTAATATAAAGATAAACTAACTAAGTAAAAAGTTTAACTAGCTATAGGTAAAGTATAAGGTAATAGAAGTTCCTACTCTACTTATAGTAGTATTAGACTTACTAGGAAGCTTGTATAAGACTGTGCATGTAGACCTGCTAGAGAGAGCTACTAATAACCTGCTACTAAGCTAGAAGCTTTAGGACTTATAACTAGGTCTAATAGTTACTCTAGAAAATAAAGATATAACGCTAGATAAATAGGAAGTAGAAGAGATCCTTTATATAAAGAATATAAGAGGAAAAGGGAAGTATTAAGTCCTAGTAAAATAGAAGGGTTATATTAATCTAATATAGCACCCGCTAGAGGTAGTGCAGGATACTAAGGCTCTAGATAGGTTTAAGGAATAGTATAGGGATGCTACGCATAATAATAGCCTAATACGCACAAAAACTAGGAAGTAAGGGTAAAAGGAAACTAGAATAACAACTTAGACCTTTGTTATAATTAAGAAGTAGAAAGGTATTAGAGAAATCTTTTAATTATCCTTATAATACTCTAAGCAAGTGCCCTACTACTAAAGTTTTATAATATGTCTAATAATTAGGTAGTAGTATCTATACTATTACTATCTATAACTAACCCCCCCCTAGCCCCCCCTAAACTATTATTTATATTATTCTAACGCCTCTATATCTCTTAGCAATAGTAGTAACGCTTGCGCGTGGCGCGGGTAGGGGACGACTTAGTTAACAAATATAAGTAGCAGTAGTAGTAGCAGCATAAGGAGGGTAGTGCTTTAATAGTTTACTAATACGCAGCACCCTAGGCCTAAAGAAAGCAAATATTAGAATATATATAAAGGGAATAAAAGAAAATTAATACTAATAATAAGAGTCTTAATACTATAGGTAGTACGCTTAGCAGCGCTCTTAAGTTTATTAATATAAAGGTTAGTTTAGGCCTAGGTCTTATTTATACGCTAGTTAATACGCTAGAAGGTAACACTAGTAGCAGCAGCGAGCTATATAATATTATTATTGCTATAACTACTATATAAAGGTGTAATAGTAGACTAAAGTAGAAATACTAGAGTACTAGTAGTAGATAGAATAATAGCACTAAGCTAATACTAATTATAGGCGCGTAAGTAGGTAGTAGGGGCAAGTAGAGTAACAGCGTTATTAGTTTAAGCCCTAGATATAAGATCCTTAAAATAATAGCAGAGCTAGTAGAACTATAGCACAAACTAGTAATAGGTGCCTTTAGTAGGTTTCCCTATAAAAGTGCTAAGGGTCCCCTTCTTTGTAATATAAAGGCAATCCTCCTAGTAACTATAATAAAACTAAAGCTAGTTATAGAGGGCTTAGCAAACGTTAGGATTATTAGTAAGGATAGCTTCTAACTAAGTACAAGTCTTATAGCTATAATAGCAGGACTTGTATAAGCGCCCTAGATATAGTTAGAACTCGCTATAAAGAAAATAAAAAATTAAGGGGAACTTACTACTACCTTCCTAATAGTTACACTTACTAAAGAGATAAAGCTAGTTAGATATAATCTACAATTTACTAGGGAAGTAGCTTTATAAAACTACTATTATATTCCTTATTATCTAAGTTACTAGAAATAATAAAGCTACTAAGTAACTAGGTTTAGGGAGATATATGCTAAATAAAAAGTTAGTATAGGGAATATAGGGAGAATGTTAGAAGTACATACCTTATCCTAGTAGGCCTAGCGCAGGGTCTAACCGCCTTATAGTAGATCCCTACTACTAGCACTAGTAGTAGTAGATAACAATATAATAGGGGCTAGATAGGCAGGATTAATAGAAAAAGAGTAGAGAGAGGGCTAATTAGTAGGGAGAATCTATTATATAATAAGTAAGTTTAGGAAATTTATAGTAGGGTAGGATAGCTATATTAGAACTTTTATAGTAGGGTGCTAAAATAAGCGTATAGACGCTACGCGCGCGTACTACTTAATATATAGGCCTGTTATAAATTAGGAAGGAATATAAAGATATAATAATAAAACTAAAAAATATAGTAATAAAGCCTAATATAGATTATAGAGGATAAAGATATAACCTTAAACCCCTAGAAAGACAATTTTATAATAGGTTATAGGGGAAGGTTAGGGGTATATAAAGGGCTTAGGCTTATACCTAAGCCTAGGTCTAACACAAGATAGACTAAGTCTAACACTACTACTAAGCGAACACACTAGACACCTATAAAAAGGCGTAGAGGGCTTATCTCTCCTTTAAGATACTAAATACTATTATTAACGCTTATTGCATTCTTCCCTTAAGGCCAGTCTATAACAAGGATATAGCTAAGGGTAAGGTACTATTAATAGTGCTTCTATAACCTATTAAGAATATATTCTAAACACGTTTTAATCTACTTATATAGGATATAAGGGATATATTAGTAATAGGTATAGTAGTAGTAGCTTATAGTATTACTAGTATAGAATATATTTAGAATAGGTTTAGAATATGTTATAAAATCTTATAGTATAATATTTAGTTAACCTCGCTTAGCTAGCTAGTAAAGCTTAGCATGGCCTAACCCCATGCTAAATACAAGTTCACGCAGCGCTAATTCCATGGTTATATAAACTGCGCCCTCGGGGTTTTTGTTGTGAAACTTTTCATGTTGGATGTTGATTTATGCATCTCATGTCATGGTTGTTATTATTATTATTCCTACATACACGTACATAATTCGATGCAGCGCCCCCGTTGCCGGACAAACAGAGGGAGAGAATCAGATGGGAGCCCCAAAGGAGTGTGCGAGGCTGCGAGCTGCATTGTCGTGCTATCTAAAACTGTGTATGTGTATGTATGCGTGTGATGTGTAGTAGTGGTATCGTGTACAAAGAGCCTGTTTTTTTGCAGATTGTGGTAGATGTCGTAACGGTCATTACAATGAAACCCAAGCCTCCCTTCCCCCCACCCACCCACGAGGGAGAAGTAGAAGAAGAAAAAGAAGAAGAAGAAAAAAGAGCCGATCGTCTATGGAAACTATTCGAGAGTGCCTGCGTGCAGACCAGAGTATTTTTTGTTTCTCTTGTAGAATCGGGAGAGCCCGGAAAGATGAGCTGGAAAAAACAAATGCGCCCTGAATCGTGTGTACTCCTCCTTCTCCGTGTTTATGCGTGGATTTCTCGGCCTGGTTTCCGAGTGAAAGAACTCCTAGTGTAGCCAGCGCCCGTGCTCCTTCCGTGCCTCCCTCCCTCCATCTCTTTGTGGCCTTCATCCAAGCGCGAGTGACTGTGAGGCCATTGTCTCCAAAAGAACAGATCTCATCGCGATAGAACCCCTCAAAACCATGATATTGTGTGCCAAAGCGAATCCGCGTAGCCGAACAAGCTCTAAGGATCCATGAGAAATTCGTCGAGTGATCGGTCTTCTCTCCAATTCTGATTCTGCCCTGAGCCTGCCTGGCCTGACTGTCCTCCGCTTCTTGACCTACTCCCCTGACCTTGTTTGAGCCGCTCATTCTCTTCTCTCAGCGTATCCCTCTCACTCTCAATCTTCTTGATGTACTCAATGGCGCTAGAGAGCACCATGGCCTTGCTGGGCTTGGGCTGGCCCATGACCCCTCCTTCGTCACTCTGCGGCAGCGTGGGCACCGCTTTTCGCAACCGCTCGAGCTCCGAGTTGAGGCCTTCGCGGTACTTGCGCTCGACTTGGTTGTGCGGAAGTCGGACTGAACGCTGGCCTTTGGAGGAGGGCGTCGTGGATTTGGATTCGGTGCTGCTATGTTCCAGGCGTGGTCTGCCTCGCTTTCGTAGCGGCCGTTTTGGCGTATTGTCTTCGGACAGGGAGGCGGGCGAGCCTGGCGACTCTTCTTTCTTCACGGTTGGAGAGAGGGTGGGAGAGTAGGCTTCTTGTGGCGCGTCTCCGCACAGTGATGGTGTTCTCGAGGTTGCGTGAGTTTGTGGCGAAAAGTAGTTTGAGTCGGTTGACTCCATTGAGCTGGGGTCATAGGCGAAGCCAAAGGGATATTGGTTGAACTGTCCAAAGGTCGGCGAGTTGAACATTTGTTGTTGGTCTGGGGGATTGTTGGTGGCTGAGATTCCCGTCGCTGGCAATGTGGGGTTGAAGGTATCTTGCTGTTTCCTCTGGTAATTCGAAGACATGTCGTCGGATGTCAGTGATCTGTCGAACGTGTTGTCGGCGTTGAAGTAGGAGTCCATGGTGTCGTTTGTGTTTTGGTTGAAAGCTCCCATGGGGAATGTTATATCGATATCGTCTGTATATGACAACATGGCCTCACCAGAAGGAGCGTAGTAGTCGAGGCTGGCGATCTTCGGAAAGCCAGAAATTTCCATGGATGCCTTTGGGTTTCGGTCCGACCGAAACAAGGCGTGACTCTTGCAGAGTTGGAATGGGATTTCACGGGAGATTTTGGGAGCTCACGGGTATAAGGAGGGCAGTGTTATCGGAGATGAATCCAAGAAGAAAACGTCGACACGAGACTCTTCAAACGTATCGACGATTCGAGAGCAAAGTGGGCTCCCCAGCAAGTCATCCATCGTCTGGATTTGCGGCTCAGATGCTGTACTTCCGAGTACGTACACCATTCAAGCTTGCAGCTTGCAGCGTCTCGCTTGCGCTGGTCAGGTTCAGGGTAAGATGCTTGCAGGAAGGCCTGCAGTTCCAACCTAATCCTGCAATAGTAGTGTGGATCCATCCTTCACTTATGCCAGAACGGAAGCTTTAGCCTTCCGGTCCCCGCGTGCTTTGACTAACATCCCAGCAAGGTGGTCGACATCCGAGAGGTTTCCCTCAGCTGCGTATGTCGAACGATTAACAGCCCATCGGGACCGTCCGGTAGAGGGGCAGAGAGGACGATTGTGCAGGGCTTATGGGATGCCCCTTGCACGAGGCTGTGCTCTACCCTACATACAATACTGTGCTATACTCACACACACACTCTCCATGGCTAAGTACGCTGTGCCACATGTCCAAGCCGAAACTGCGATGCCGAGATGCCGATACCCTTTGCGTTTCCAGCACCAGGCTTGGACTGTGGTAGAGATCCATTTCTCGACATTCCTGCTCGGCGATCAGACATGCATGGACCCTGGACTATTGCCAAAAATCACTTAGGTTAGATCCTGAGTATCGATTGGGTGCAGACGGCCATCCATCCATCCATCCATCCATGAACACTTCCCCCAACCCGATCTTGCGAAACTCGGAGGAGTAGGAGGAGGTAGGGAGTAGGTAGACAACCTGCCATGACTTGAGGGTTCTGAGTTTGCATGACACGTGGCCATGAAGACTATTCAAAAGTCTCCCAACTGTTCCCCAATGCCCGATCACTGAAGCACGCGTTGTCGAGCCACTGCATTGCTTTCGCCGAGTTCGTCCAAAACCGTGCCTAGAAGATCCGAGCCAGAACACCGTTTGCAGTCAGCAACGCACTGAACCAAACGCAAACAAAGGTTTTGTTACCCACTGCCAAGCAGCCTTCGAAACATTTGCAGCCCAAAAAAGTCCTGCCGTAATCTCTGACAAGGTTTCTTAATTGCACACAGTGGATCTCGGTGCCCGTGTTGCAATGTTCCAGAGCAAATGCTCAGTAAACATACACACATACAGTACACAACATTGTAGCTCCACTGGTTCCGCAGCAGGCAGGGCTGCTCTGAAGTTAGCGTATCCCTTCCCGCAAAAAAGTTCCTGTAGCTCACATGCGGGAGTGCTACTTTCTCGCAAGGCTGCACGCCTCATGATGATGGCGTGAGACTCGTCTAATCACTCCAGCACCGAGCAAGCTCTTTGCTTAGGAAGCAGTAACATGGAAACTAGTCATGGCAGCGTCAGACGGCTTGAGTAACAGTACGGCCGTTGTATGCTGCACTTACCTGCTCTTCATTGGCACCCTCTGAGCATTGGAAGGAGGGGTGCTGGCAATATAACATCGATCCCACGAATTGTGATTTACCAAGCTATGCAAGAGAGGTGATACCGATTTGTGTATCTCGAGGCCCAGTGTCTGGACACGTCGAAGCAGGGTCGATTCGCCGTTCGCCCGACCACGAAAGAATCGCATCGAGCATCTAGAGTAAGCCCTCGAGGACATTCCGCATAAATGGGGAATCTCTCAGGCATGCGATTCGACGAGGACGATGGCGAGTGCCCATCAGAAAGCAATCATGCGCGAGAGGCGTAGGTGCTGTAAATCCAACTCCTATGCTTGGAGAGATGGCGACTACGAGGCCCTCGACCCCACCACCACCACCACCACCCCTCCCCACAGGGTACCGATAACCATCGCACGTCTCCAAGCCACGAAACCATCACCACCCAAACCACAATGGCCGAACATTCAACCCGCATCAAGACACGTTTCCTCATCCTCTCAGACACGCACTCCGCCACCCCCTCCCAAAACATCTCCAACGAAGCCACTGCATTCCGCCCGCCACTCCCACAGGCAAATGTAATACTCCATTGTGGCGACCTCACCATGCTCGGTCTCGTCGAAGAATACGAGAAGACGCTGGAGATGCTGGGAGGCATGGAGGCAGAGCTGAAGCTCGTAATAGCTGGCAATCATGACATCACGCTGGATGCAAAGTACTATGCCAGAAAGGGCGAGTTCATGCACAGCGGGTACACAGCCTTTGACCCTGATTTACCCCGTCGAGCTCGGGAGCTGTGGCTGGGTGAAGGGGCGCGCAGAGCCGGTGTCACGTATCTCGAAGAGGGCACGCATACATTTACTTTGGCCAATGGTGCCAGACTTCGTGTACGTACAAGAGGAAAAACCTCTGCTTGTTGCACCGCCGAGTACCGTACAGTAGGTTCGTCTGGGGGGGGGGGAGGGCGCGAAAGCTGACGAGGCGTCAACTAGGTCTATGCATCTCCCTACCAGCCAGAGTTTTGCGATTGGGCTTTTCCGTATTTCCGCAATCAGGACCGGTATAATGCAAACCATCAGTCTACCCAGGCGGCAGAGTGTATTGCAGAGAACCCGGTTCCTGACTTTCCGCACGTGGACGTAATGATGACACATGGCCCGCCAATGGGGATTTTGGATACTGTAGGCACAGGTGAGCATGTTGGCTGTGAGCACCTCTTACGAGCTTCGCGACGGTGTAGACCGAGGTTGCATTGTTTCGGCCACATCCATGAGGGATGGGGCGCACAGCTTGTGCGTTGGCGAGAGGACACCGGGCTGGATGCGAGTGCGAACGCGCCAATTGAGAGGCTCACTGATATCGATGTCGACGCAGAGAGGATGGTGAATGAACGAGGGGCAAGTCTAGATATAAGTTCTGGTTCTGGCATGGCTGTTGAACCTGGCAAAGACACCCTCATGGTCAACGCCAGTATCATGACACTCAGCTACAAGCCTTGGAATGGGCCATGGATCGTTGACCTTGACCTCGAACGCGACACATGATCTCACTTTTTTAATCCAAAATACTGATTGATTCAAGTACAAATATTTCATTTCGTCATTTAGGCATCATGGTTACTCATCATCATAAACTTCCCGGTCTTGGAACACAAGGAACTCTCCACCCTCGTCGCCTAGAAGCTTCTGCCATACCTCCTTTACATGCTCCAATATTGTGTCATCGAATGCCAGGTCTAATGATGGCGGTGGAAAGCTCAGAATCTGAGCGCCAGATGGCAACAACTCAGATCCCGACGAAGGCCGTTGCTCGTACTGAAGAGACCATAGTACTGTAGGCGCAGGGTCAACCTCAACAGATGAAAGCAGCGTTTCGATTGCTATTCGTAGTAGATCTGAGCCCGCTTTACCATTCAGCGATGTAGAGGCGTATAATATACCTGATTAAAGAGTCAGCAATGTGAAAATGATAATTCTAGAAAATTCAGGGTATGGACAGGATGCCGTTTATCAGGTTGTCAGAGTTTTGTCTTCAATAAGATTCAGACAATGTAGATAAGTATTCGTAAGGTTTGTTCATCATAACAGCAGGGTGTGGGAGCAAATGGGAGGATTTGGACTTACTCTGACCAACAGGACATTCGGCTGTGTCGCTCGAGTGAACGAGGATGTGGACAGCAGGGGGTTCTTCATCTTGTGGGGCCGACGCCAACGATCCAGATGGAAAAACAACGACAGCAGAGGCTGGTGGTGGGGCGTCATCGCCTATAGGCGGAAAGAGTGGTGTCAATGGAGAGGACACGATTGCGATACATCTGGAAATTTCTGTCTCCGGTGAGGTCGCAGTGTTCCCACCTATGATCCACTTGGCCGTGACGACTTCGCCATCTTTCAGGCGGAGTTTTGTACCAGCCTCTGTCGTTTCCAGGCTGCCATCACTGGCAGGTGCTAAGCCTTTTCCAAGGACATAGACACCTCCTCCAACAGCACAAGCTCGACACGAGACCTGACTTATTTCAGCCAGGCCTCCCCATTTGGGCATGACTGCCCCAAAACCAGGTCCAAACACGCCAATCGACCGAAGATGTCGTGCAATTCGAGGAAGCGCGTATTCAGTCGTCGTCCGGACCGATGAAGTTGGCGACAGAGAGAGAGCTATCAAGGGACCCTGAAGACTATCAGGGACCTTGAACTGTTGTGACAAGAATTCGGGGAATGGCCGTTGGCGGTGCTCTTCCCAGACCTCAGGTTGCTGTTCGTACTCCCCGATGAAGCGTAGAAACTTCATCAAGGCACGCTTTGCTTTGAAGTCAAGGCCATGGTCCTGAAAGACGTCCTCTCGTCCGTTGGGAACTTTCAGAAGCCGACCATGTGGTGATGCATCTGATGTGGACAGGGAGCTTTCGCTGTTACTGTCACTAGAGTACACCCACCAGCTGCCCACGGCAAGAAACTCGAGCTGGCGATAAACCCTGGACGAGACAAGGTTTGCAAGCAACGAGGAGCGAGCATAGATGAGTTGTGGGCTCAGCGCTAAGCTGTACGCTCTTGATGGCGACAGGCGAGCAGCGGAATCGGCTGTTGCTGCCGTTTCAGGCTTGGTGATGGTGACATTCGAGAAAGAAGCACGAGGAGCTTCACTCATCCGCCGACTCCATTCCTCGGCATCCTGCAAGCTGAATGCAGCTTCAGCACCACCGTAGTAGTCATTCTCATCGACGTGTAAGATTTTCTTATCCGAGCGCGACAGGGCTCTTCAAGCGCTGCGTCAGTCAGATTCGCATCCCCAATCCCCTTTCTAGTCCTCGCAAAACTTACAAAGCTAATAGACTCTGCTGCAGTCCCGTGCCCACAATGAGCACATCCCACTCGGTGTTGTCAAGAGTGTCCATGGTTAGCTGAAGACCTGTGCAAAGGAAATTTGAAGTCATCGGAAGAGCTTTGGTAGCGCCGCGCTTAGCGCGTCCCGTGACCAAGCTAGTGGCTTCTTCGCGGGACAACAAAAACCTGCGAGTGAAGGGCAGAGCTGTTCTTCACATCAACGCGCTCGCTCAGGACATCTGGCCCGCTTTACGTATGGCATGTCTGGAAGGCAGCTAGGTCTTCACTGATCTGGTCATGAGCGTGTTAGAAGAATATCTCGTCCGGTATCTACTGCTTCGGATTTTACCTGAATTAGCGGCTCGAATGTGGCGATACATCTATTGAATTCGAAAAGAAGTAGCCTTGGTACTTCTCTCGCATCTATGGAGGTTGGAGCTGTTGTACAAGTATTCTATAGATTAAGCGTGCTTTCTCTTCAATGGAGACTCTGCTCGTTGACTGTATGGTGTGTCGGATTGTGTGGTTTGGCACTTTGCGTTGCCCTGGCTACTCCGGCGACACGTGCAGTACCTAAAACTATCTTGCTTTATACCATATCTTAAGGAGCAAGTAAGAGAAACGCAATTGCCATTTCATGCGGATGTGGTTTCATGGTTCAAGAAAACCGAGACTACGAAGAAAAGATTTTTGATTCTCCTCATTATGCCTAAACTTTATTCAGATGGAGATAAAGTCTCATTATCATGTTATATATACATTAGCTCAAGCATAAGCCAGCCTTTCCTTTGTCCACCCAGGCCTGAGGTACTCAGAGTCGAACCTCGAGCTCCAGCTACTCTCAATAGCATATTCCTGCACAAGCTCAACATCGATCTTAGCACCCTCTTCCGTCTGAGCCCAGACGCTCACACCGATGACGTTGTCACCAGAGTAGTTGAGAATACCCGGAGGAACGGGGAACTTGATTTCGTTGCCGACATACGGGTTGAAGCGTGCATACTGGTAGCCGTTGACGAAGAGCTGTACACGGACAGCCTTGGAGCCAACAGCCTTGAACACAAAAGCAAAGGAAGCGTCGAGCTCGGCAGGGACGTCAAGAGGAATGATAGTGCGGTAGAAAGCAATGCCAGCCTCGGCAATACCTTCAGAGGGAGAGCTGGAGTTCCACGCAGAGTCATCGAAGCCAGGGAGAATCCAGCCAAGGCGTTCAGCAACAAGACCACCCTCAGACAATGGGCCGCGGACAGGATCAAGCTGGATATTCTCGCCACCAGCCTCACCGGCAATCTTCCAGGTGGTGAAGTTGGCGCCCTCGAGTGTGGCACCGAGAATACCACGGGGCTTGACCGCATCGGAACGTAAATCGTGGCCAGTGTTGTCTTGAGCAACGAGCAGTACATTGGTACCGTTCGTGTAGACGGTTGCGTTTGCGAAAGAAAGCGTCATGTTGCCGGCAGGCGCCGTCGTGTTGCCCAAGAAGGATCCTACGAACTCGCCGTTGAGCCAGGCACTCCATCCGAAAGCAAGACCACCCTGGACAGCGAGCTTGACACCGGTTGCGGCACCCTCAAAGTGGCCACGGAAGAGGTGGAAGCTGTTGTGGAAGCCGTAGTCGTCAACATAAAGCACGGGAACGGTGTCAGGCTTTGTGGGGTTGGGTGTGGTGAGATGGTCTGCAATGACCCAAGCATCACCGCTGTCATCATAGCTTGGTTCCTTCTCTGGCAGTGCGTCGGCGACCTTCCACTTGTCCAAGGATGGGAGGTTGATACTGGCATCGAAGGCAGCGACTGTAGCCTTCAAGCTTCCATATGAGGTACCGGTAGTCTTGAGCTTCTTGCCGTTCCACGAGAGTTGCTTGACGGTTTTGCCAGCAAAGACTTCGATGGTGGTGCTCTTGGTGATGTCGCCCTTCAAATTCAGGTATTTGCCCTCCTGTGCTGCACTGCGGACAAGGTAGGGTCCCTGTACAAGTACGGATTTGTCGACTGGTGCAAAGGGATCGTTGGACAGGTTAGGTGCCCAGAAGAGGTATGCGGTAGGCTTATCGGCAACAACGACTTTGACGCCATTGTTGAACTCGTACACACTCATACCAGATACATTCTGGATGTTTGTGGTGATGCCGCGAGCCTCACGGTGGAACGTTGCATTCGAGCCAGCAGTTTGGCTGACTGGCTTGCCCTTGGAAGCTCCTTTGATGTGGAATTCGACAGACTCCCCGACACCGGCGGAGAGAACAACGACGGGGCCATGGTCAAGAACAGCGTATGTCAGGACCTCAGCGGTGGAGTAAGTAAGAGTCTGGTCGCCTAACGAGAAGTCGGTGACTATGATCTTGGACTGGTGACCGTCTAGGATGATGGAGCCCTCGTGCTGAGGAATAGTCAAATTACCAATCGAGGTGCTGACATGGAGCTTGAAGGACTCCTTAGTCGCAGAAGGCGAGTAAGAGTGAATTGTGACGTAGAAACCAGCGTTTGTCAATGGATTGCGTAGCTCGCTGGCCTCAACGGCTGGGTTTGTACTGTAGATGGTGGAGTTACCGATTCGGTTGGTGACTGTCAAGTCCTCGGCGACGCGAGTGAAAAGGGCTAGGTTCTTGGTCTCGTAGTACTTGCTGTCGATCTTGCGGTTCTCGCTGATGGGACTGCTATAATCATAGCTAGTGGCGGTGACAGGAGCAGCGATAGCACCCCAATTAGTTCCACCGAACATCATGTAGAGGGATATGACTGTCACACGCTGGGCAATGAGGTTGCGGTAGAAAAGGTTGGCGAAATCAGCGCCAATATCGCCTGGACATCCACCCTCTGGTCCGCCCCATGGGTTGTAAGATCCACCCTGGAACTCAGGGAAGAAGCTGGGCTGAGTAGGCGAGACCTCGACGAAGTGATCGTAATAATCGATGACGTTGTACGCGACGTACTCTCCATTGGTGCCAGTGCACTCATCGAGGTTGCAAGACCAGCAAGATGGGTAGCTGTCCAAGCCAGCCACGTCCACATTGCCAACAGCGCCTGGGCCGAAGTCCTTGGACCAACTCTTGGTATTCATATTCGGGTCGTTGTGGATCAGAGGCACATCTATCCCGTTTGCTCTTGCAGAGTCTTGCAATGCGGCCATGTAGCGCCCAGCAGCATCATTGGGAATCTTCCTGACCGTATCTCTCCACTGCTCGCCATACTCATTTTCAAGCTGGTAGACGAGGCAATTGCCACCTTTGGTCACGAGATGCTCGGTTGTGAGCTCAGAAAACTTTGAGAAATAAGGGTCCAATGCCTTGAGGTACCTTGGATCGTCGTCTCTCAGCTTTCCGTACGCTCCAGTAGTGAGCCAAAGTGGGAAACCTCCGGCGTTTGCCTCGGCGTTGACATAGGGGCCGGGGCGCGTGATGACATAGAGACCGACCCGGTGTGCGATTTCGAACAGTTTGGTGAACTCGTGTGCACCAGTCTCGAAGTCTAGGGTGTTGTTGTTCGCGCTGTGGTATGCCCAGTTGCCGTAGAAAGCGAAAGCCGTGAAGCCTGCCGCCTTGATCTTCTCCAGTAAATCTTCCCAAATCTCAGGGACAGGGATTCTCCAATCTAGGGTGAAATTAGTACATGAGTTGAAAGTTCTTCCACTATCTCTTCTTACAATGAATCTCTCCGCTGAAAACGAAGAGCCTTTTGCCATTGACATGAAAGCTGTAATGGTCCCATTGGACAACCTCGTTCAGACCATTGTCGTGAAGCGGCCATTGGCTAGGTGTGGAGACATTCTGAGCATTAACGCCGACGGCAGTTATGGCCGAGAGCAGTGACAGCCACGAGAGGCCTGTGAGAGACTTCATGGTGATGGGAAGTCGACAAGTCGAAAGCCAATGAGCGCTGTACCCATTTGTTCGGACATCCTGGAGACTTATGAAGGGATACCAAGAACCGAAATCTCGGCACCCTCGAATTGCGGACAAGAAACTAACATCTAAACGATGATGGTATCCCGACGGGCTGGAGAGCAGAGAGATGTCTTAATGGTGGAAGTATCGATGCCCACGCACAACCGTTCCACCGAGGCCGCCTAGGCCCGGTAAAAACCACGGGATCTTCACCGTGTGGCGGATGCACTGCTGCATGGCGTTAGACAGGCGGAGAGGTCCTTGTAGAAATTGCGTTTGGATTTGTGAAATGATTTGAACCAGGTAATGTGCAAAAAACCTGGGGCTGGGCCACGCGATAATGTGGGGAGAGAGACGGGGTTGCCATGGAAGAGTTTCTTAGTTGGTACTTCCTCCGTAAGCATGCTAACTCAAATGGGCCATGTCGACCAGCTTGAGCACAACAAGCTGCAAGTACCGGTACATGTGGAGCTCGCGGGACGAGCCCTTACATGTGGTGGCAGAATCAGAGAAACAATGTAATTGAGCAGATGTGCGCGCAATCGCCAGTACTTCAACGAGACGCATCTTATACAACTGCTTGCACAAGACTGGTGTCAAAAATCCACGTATCGTTACTTCAAGATGACAGGTATGCAACAATGACCTTCGGCGACAAGAACTCAGTTGTCATCTCCATCTTGCCCTAGATTGGGTCGCTTACCATAGGTAGGTAGTCCAGCTCCACAGTCATGTCCGAAGAGTAGAGCTGTGGCCACTAGGTAAGCAGTAGCTTCATGTACGCGAGATACAGACCAGTGCAAATATGTGAGCACCGAAAAAAGACAGCCCTATCTTAGTAGGACGTCATTGATTCCAGACCATGTCAAGCGATTGCATTACCGGTACCGTACCATAATGAGCGATCAGGGTCCAACACATACTGTATACCCTACATACCTTATTCAGCCCGTTGAACTCCTATGCATCTCGATGATTGGCGTACATTTGCGCGGCGACTCTTACACCGCCTGAGATATGGTGATCATTGACAATTCATCCATGGCTAAGTATAACGCCTGGTAATGCTCCGGGTGCAACTCTCCAGAGCCACAGACTCTCTTCAATTACGTTCTGCCGTTTGGAAACTCATCGGCATTCAAGTCTTCGCACAGGCTGGTAATCTTATCTTCGAGGTATCGCTCGGAATCAGCTTGCTTCAACATCACTTATGCTAAATTTAAGGTGACAGCAGTCACTCAAAGGCGTGAGTCACTGAACGCATGCGTGAACAACCAGGGAAATGTAGTTGTGATATGAGATTCTGAATCATCGTTTTTATCGCGGATACCAGTTCTGAAGTTGATGTGAGCTTTTGATAGGAAATGAGACGTTTAAACTTCGTGACTGCTAAGTTGTGCAACAGTACCCCTACACAGCGAAATGGATACAAAGCATGCCAGCTTTTCAGCCCAAAACAAAAGGAATGCACCATTTGCATCATCCTGTCCCTTCATAAATCATTTAATAACACAAATCAGTACTCTCGTCTCGGCAGACTCATCCCATTTCTTCCACCTCCCCTCCCTCTTTCCTCATCTTCCATATCCGCCTCCCAACCCCCACCATCATCACTCATATTGCCCTCCCAATCTGCGTCGCTGTCTCCCTCCTCACTCACAACGACGATCTCCACCTGGCTCTCCAACACCATATTCTCCTTGCTCGCACTGCGACTTTCGACCATGGTCTTCAGTTCCACCCCTGCGTCGCGCTCGACCTCTTCGACAGCGCGGCGGAGTGCTCGTTCCCGTCTTTTGTGGCGCAGATAGCCGACTTCGAGCAGGATGAAGAAGAGACTTAGGATCAGGATGGTGAAGCCGGAGATTATGGCTGCTCTGACGGGGGCACTGAGATTGGCAAAGGATGTGGAGTTTTGGAGGGAGACGGGGGGGACAGAGAGGTTTGCTGATGTTGCATTGAGTGATGGTCGTGATGTTGGTGTTGATGAGAGTTTGATTGTTGTGGTGGACGTAGCAGTCATGTCGTTTTGAGGAATGGCTGTCGATGGCGTCGTGAAAGGTGAGGGTTGTGTTGACGGAGTGCTGCTACCAGAAGTCGCTATAATTGAACAGCTCTTTCCAAATCATCAGCATGAAACATGATGTTGATTATGGAGAATCACCACCTACTTCACAATTCCCATCCAAGCCATTCTCTATTTCTGCATGCCCGACACCGATACCGTACACCGCCCAGACATCACTTGAGAAGAACATCGCCGCACCAAACACCAAAGATAGCTTCATATTTCTGCGAGAAACACAATTAAGAAACACAGTCGAAGCGAAATAGAGAGCAAAGCCGATTTTGTGAAGGAAGGGAAGTTAACCCCTCCACACCCCCCTTTCATGCCATCTGACGATAAAAACAACCCATAATGGTCTTGTTATGCATACGGCAGTGGTACCTGCAGTGAACCCCTCGCGCGCCTTTTTTGTCTCGATTTCGACAAGGCGGACAGGGTGCCGTCGAAGTGGTACAAGAGTGTTTGAGAAGACGATCGAGTGAGCTGGCATTTCGAAGCTTCCTAACGGCAGCAGCCGCGATTTTGAACTCAAATACCATAGCAGCACGACTACTCACGTCGAAACTTTCTCTGAATGATGTTTCGTTTAGCTAACTGAAGAGCAAAGAAAATAGCGACGTATATGTTCTGTTACTGGACTTGTTGTTGTAACTCAAACACACACCTCCCCCACTCAAATCCCAGGGGAAAAAACGGGATCTAGCAACGCCCCCATCACGCACAACGTACAGTCGTGTAACATTCAAATCTGCAAAACAAGCAACAATCGAGACAACTGCAGCCCCCTCCCCGCATCCTCTTCTCCCCATCAACGTATCCAGCACCATCCATGCAACTGTCTCAGGCCCTCGACAACCTCCGTGTTCCTTCTGATTCGCCATCTCCATCCAGAGGAGCAGATACCTAGCTCCCAAACAGCGGATCCTCAAGCCTATCGACGCGAACATAGCCCGTAGCCTCGATGACGAGTTCTCTGCGTACGCTCATGGCGCCGTTGATTGTACAGCGTAGGCCGTCGCCGGGTCGACCTCCTATACAAGTGAGATAGCTAGTTGGTGCGCTTGGATCGTTTGCCGTGATATTCTGCGAGCCGATGAACCTACACGGCCAAACCTGTCAGCTCTGATACCTACCTTCCTCTACACCCGCATTCTAGCTTCCCAGCTGAAAAATCGCATGCATGAACGGTGACCCGCGAACTCACATCACCTCTCGTTCCTCCCCAGGAACTATCCGTCCAACAACTAACTCGTAGTTCAATTCTTCCCTCCTCCTCCTCCTCCTCCTCGTTGCCCCCGTTTCCCCCGGTCTGTGATACGGCTTCATCCCGAACTGCACTTGCTCGCCCTCCTTTGCGCCATCTCCTGCACAGCTAAATGCCATTTCTGGCAGGGTATCGTGTTTCCACTCGGCCGCGCAGTTCACAGTTCTGTTGGTATGGCCGCCGGACAGGAGAGTCGGCATCACGACGGTAAACTCGATGCTGGTGTTGAATTTGTCCGCCTCGTTCCAATCTGGGTTTCCCGGCCACCCGGGCTTTTCCGAGATCATGTGCATGGTGAGGTGGGGGATGTGGTAGATTTGCGTGGGGTCGAGTGGGGAGAGCGGGAGGGATGGTGGGCTGGAAGTCAGGCTGGGTTGGGACTGAGGTAGTATTAATGCGGCGAGGAATTTTACCCAGTTCTTCGAGGTCATGGCGAGTGGGACTGGTTTTGGTGTTGGGGTTCTTTGTGATGGGTACAGGGCAATTTGAGGATATGCGACTGCTGTGTCTCAGGAAGAGGAAGAGTGTATGAGCACATGGGCATCTTATAACTCGATTGTACCAGAATGCCACACCTATCATATTAATTGGCTTCCCAGTACGGTAGTCTCATCTTCCATCTCATTGTACAAGAATAATCAAACTCTTAGTCTCATATCCAACAACTCGTCACTGACCAGTGTCCCTATTCGCTCCCACCAAAATATTTGAGTAACATCGCACGTTCTCTCCCCTTGACATCGTGGCACCCGGCGTACCCAACATGAGCAACGGTACAAGTGACACATAAATCCTACCCCTGTTAGTTCATTGCGGCTGAATAGCAAAGATGCAATGGCCAACTACCTGAGCATCGTATACCCACAAGCCGTGGCATTATACGCAGTGACTACATTGTACGACTCACGCAATCTCGCAGATATGTCAAGTACCTCCATTGAGCTACCAACGAGTCACAACAATATCACACACTGTCTGCGAGTCCAAACAACTGTTGCCATATCGTCCAGCACTCGCACACCTTGTAACAGGCTTTGAAAAGGAAAACAGAGTCTGTGCGAGGTTTGATTGAGTTAACATGACCACCACAAAATAAACCAGTATTGAGGAAGCCTGGATAAGGGAAAAAAGGGGTGGAGGGGGGGTATCACGTCGTACGCTCGAGACAAGGGGTAATTGAGAATGTGGAAAGTTGCGTTTGTTGGAAATGGTAATTTTATCATTGCGCATTTGCTGGTCTCACTCCGGAGGGAGGGCGCGGATACGCTGTCATGTGTTCAATAGCCACACACACAAAAAATCTCTCACCCTATCACTCAGACACTCTTTCACACACTCACCCACCCTCCCCCTCCCCCAAACTCAACCCACAACCCCCTTCCTCACCCTCAACGCCACCCTCGCCATCTCCCTAAAATCCCAGCCCTTACCCGCACCCCCATCCGCCCTCCCGTCCGGCACATGCTCCCCGCTATTAATAACATGCACCTTCATCTTCGGATGAAACTTGAGCCCAGCCAGCAACTTCGGCGTGATCAAAAAGTACTGACTCGTGCGCTCCTGACACGCGATATCGACCATGCGCTCGTGCACCATGCGTTCGTTGCGCGGGTCCATGCCCTGGTTGATTTCGTCGACGACGCGAAAGGGCGACTGGGCGAGGCCCTGGAGCGCCATGAGGTAGAAGATTGTGCTGACGGAGCGTTCGCCGCCGGATTGGCGGTGCGAGTTGAGGACGGCTAGGGATTCGCCGTCGCTGTTTGGGGAGGGAGGGTTTGTTAGTTGATGGGGATGGAGAAGGGGGGAATAAAATAGAAAAGATGAGTACGAACCGGAATCGAACGGAGATTTGGATACCCCACTTATTAAAGTCCTCTTCATCCTTGTCCACGTCTACCTGACCGGCACACCCAATCTGCTCAAAATTATACGCAAAAGCCGCGCTGATCTTGTCAGTGAGCGCGTCGAGCTCGGGTTCCCATTTCTGCCTGATTTCCTTGATCTGCTCCTTTGTCGCTTCGAGGCTGTCAGTGTGTTGTTCGAGCTTCTCCTTTGTGCGCACAATCTCCTCTTCACGCTTCTCATACGCCCTGATCGCTCCCGGATTCCCCTCAGACATGAGCTCCAGACGTGCCTCGACGGTCTGGATCTCGTGCTCTAGGGCTGCCATGTCAGGGAGATTGCGGTACTCGACGTACAGGGCCCGTTCCTTTTCAGTGAGATTGTTGATGTCTTCTTGTGTAGCTCGGAGGAGTCTTTGATATTCCGAACGCATGACATGATCGCGTTTGACCATGTCGCTGATTTCGATTTCTTTGCGTTTCAGGCGATCGAGTATTTCTTGGTTCTCGCGCACCAGGGCGTTGAATTCAGATTTTGCTTCGATGAGGCGGATTTCGGATTCCACAAGTGATTCATAATAGGTGCGGAGCTGGGTGACTACTTTGGCGTATTCGAGGGTCATGGTGGCAATCTTGAGCTGGACAGCCCGTGACTCAGTCTTGATGTCGCGTATACGGCTGTTTGTTTCGGCATTGTGCTGAACATATGCGTCGAGCTCGCTCTGTTTCGTGCCGATCTTGGCAGGTAAAGCGTTCCATTCGGCGACAGCTTTTCTCAAGCGCTCTTGTTCCATTTGAATGTCATCTTTCTCTCTCTTCAGCTCACCCACAGTCGCCTCAAGCTCAGCCATTTCTCCCTTCAAGGCTGCAAGGTCCTCCTTGAGCTCAGTCGCCTCCCGTAAAATTTGCTTCATCTTCTCATCAAGTTCTCGCTTTTCCTCGGTGTTGACCTGCTGCTCCACGAACCATTGCGCTCTCCTCAGCTGGGTGACTGCGGTTGACTTTGCATTGTACTCCCTGCGCACAGTGATCTGATAAATTTCACTGCCACTAACCCACTTGCGAATATTGCTGTTCTCTACGGCGCTGTGCTGCTCATCAGAAATCTGCTTGGGCGAATAAGCGATCTGATGGAGTTTTGTGTTTTCGCACAGCATGGCAAGCACAGTATCTGGTCCGCGAATGTAGTCGAGGATGTGGCCCTCGAAGCCAAATCTGGACAGTTCTTCAGGCGATGCAGCTGGCCGATAAGAGGACAGGGGCTTGGGTGAAGACCTCAGAAAGATGTCGTGAAGGTCAAGTCCACCATTTTCCGCTTTGGAGAGAAATTTATCTGAAAGTAGCTTCCCATCATCACTGTGGGTGCAAGTGATTGCGACAATGTCGCCCTTTCTCAACTGATTTTCGACAGCCTGTGCGTACCTAGGGTGGGTGATCGAGCACTCCAGCAGAGGTGGGCCAACCACTTCACCCTTGAGTTGTAATGTATGCTTGTTCTTTTGGAACCAGTCCCACGCCGTCGCAGTGTCCCGGGATATCTTCGAAAGAAGATTTGCCTGCTTGCCACTTTGTGTATCCAGTTGTGCTCGCCGCTGTTGCGTTTGGCTATTCTCTTTGTTCAACTCCATCACCCGAAGACGTCCTGCGCTGTGGGTTTCCTCCTTGTCTCGAAGAGAAGTCTGGGCAGCTGATAGTTGCGTGCGGATCTCAGCTTTCCGGGCGTCAAATTTCTCTGCATCATAATTAACAGGCTGCTCATTCTGCTGTCTCTCCAGACGCGCAATGTCGGCTTTGGTACGGGCAATGTCTTGTTCGCGTTCCTTCTTGGCCCTGAGCTCCCCCTTGACTCGGTCTTCAAAATCTGAAACTTGCAGCCTTTCCTGCTCAAGGTTTTTGTAGAGCCTGTCAGCCTGCGTCTTGCACATCTCGACGCGATTCTTTTGGAGTGCCACCACTCGCTCAATCTGTTTCTTGTACGTTTCTACCTCAGCCTGAGCCTGGCGCACTGGCTCCACATCAGCATTGAGTTGGTCGAGCTGCAGCCTTGCATTACGAATATCCACCTTTGCCTGGCCAATCGCCTGCTTGCGTAGGCGGAGCTCGATAGCTGGTCCTACTTTCTTCAGGCACTTCGACTTTTGCAACAGCTCCTCGCGCTGATGCCAGCGTTCGACATCGTCTCGCGTTGCGTTCTGCTGGGCTTCCAGCTTGCTGAGATGGGTTTTCTCATTGTGTTGCTTGGTCTCCAAGGCCTTTTCTTCTGCTCGTAATACCTTGAGCTGATCATGCCAGTCAACCATGTATGCAGGAGCCGCAGCACGCTGGGTTTCCCGCAAGCGGTCGACCTCTGACAATCTTGAGAATTCGACGACTCGGTCTTGTGGTAGGAATTGACAGAGATTGTCAATTTGAATCGATAAGCCTTTGCACATCGCCGTGACGACATTTTGAGCAGTCCGCTTTCCGTTTAGGGTGAAAAACGACTTGTTATCCTCTTTTCGAATGAGCCGCTGAATTACGGGGTTCCTTTTCATGCCTGGACCTTTGGCCAACTCTATTTCTATCTCCGCCTCTGTCGCCCCATGCTTCACGAACGCACCCAAATCCTTTGCTCTTCCGAGATGCTCACTGCCCCATCCCAGACCAAGGCAGATGGCACAAACAAGTGTACTTTTCCCTGTTCCATTCGGGCCTATGATCATGTTCAGGCTCGGACCCAGGAGAAATTCGGCTGCTGTGTAGGTGACGAAGTTCTTCAACTTGACGCGTATAAGTGAGCCAGGCTGGAACTCATCCTCCACATATTGAGAGATGCCATTCACACGCCTGGACTGTGGAGGTCGGGTGGTTCGAATACCGCTGCTTTGAACAGAGCTACTGGAGGCATGGCGGGTAGTACGGGCACGTTTGCTTCCTACGGAGACTGGTGAGACTGGCTCGGAGTGATCGTCTTCCTCGTCGTCAACCACTGTCGAGGGCCGTTTCCGATTATTCTGAGTTATGCCTGGCATCTTCCCAATACAGCGGGGTTGTGAGATAGAGGCGCACGTATGCGGTCAACAAGCGCACTGTTGTGTGGTGCATCTTGGTGGGATTGGCGCGTCACCATGTCGCGGGACCGTGCATCCAGAACGCAGTCACGTGATAACGCGACGCGTCGTCGACCCTGGGCTGCCGAAGTATATCCCACATATACGAGTGGGTACTGCATTCTTACCTACATGTTCACACATGATAAGACGACCACGTCAAGTATCTTTCTCATTGTAATCATACAGAATTGCGCAGCCCTAATAATCACTGCTCGAACTGCGCTAGCCAACTAAAGTATGCTCCGGCTTCTCAAAAACGCCTTTGTAATTAAAAAAAGCGCCATGACAGAGAAGTACCGCGCGATACCAGATTCCTGGAATCTATGATGCCCACCTCCTTCATTACTCGTAGCAAACCCCAGACCACAATACCCCATGCTTCAAAAGTTCCATCGTAGCAAACCCCAGACCACAATACCCCATGCTTCAAAAGTTCCACCAAGGGAATGCGAACGGCAGAAACGCGTCAAGCAGCCAGTGCTATGGCGCCCATATAAGTGTGTAGAAGGGCTTAGAAGATAGTGCCAAAGTTCTCCTCAACTGCGGATAGCGGTTTCCTGGGAGTAGACGTGTTCCCGTTCTCATCGACGGTCTTTTTGTGGCGGAAGGTGACTGTCGGGCCGTTAGTATGAGATCGCATGTTGAAAAATCGGTGTACTTACATCCAACAAAGAGACCCTTGCCCATCTGATCATTGCGGTCCTGCATGGCTTCAAGGGCAGCCTGCTTGTCGTGCACCTCTTTGTACTTGGCCATGTCGGCTTCATTACCAAAGTCGTCAAAGTAGCCGGCGTCTGTCTCGCTGTCCAATTCGGGAACGAAGGGCGCCTTTTGCTCCCTCAGCCTGTTCCAGTCCACCTCCGCAAAGTATTGATGAGCATGAATCTCGGAAATGCCGCGGAAGCGAGACGTCTTTGACGCAACCAAACGTACGATGAGATCCCAGGTGCGCTTGGAAAGAAAGTATGACGGGTCCTCGTATACCGGCTTCCGCAAGACCTTTTTCCACTGCTTAAGATTCTGCCATGTCTCATCCACTGTCGCGCCCGCAAAGGGAGGATAGCCAGCCAAAGCCTCGAACAGCATGCAGCCCAAACTCCAGTAATCGACCGTGAAGTCATACTCGTCGCCCTTGAGAACTTCCGGAGCCATGTAGTCCGGACTTCCCACTATACTCTTGGCGTAGTTGACATCGCGCTCACGTAGCGAGCGGTAGTTTTCTCGACGCTGTGCGGCAGAGCGCTCTTCTATCGGGCGTCCGAATGGCGAGACGACATCACTGACGGATTCCAGCTTTATACGCATCGATTCGATCCTCTGAGGTGCCAGGATACCGGCTGCCAAGCCGAAGTCGGTCAATTTGACATGGCCGGTGCTATCAATCAGGAAGTTCTCGGGCTTCAGGTCTCGATGAATGTATCCAAGCTGATGCAGTGAGTCGACACAGGAGAACATTTCTGCAATGTAAAAGCGAGCATGTCGGTTGTGCAAGACTCCTGTATTGTTCAACAGGGTGCGGAAGTCGCCTCCAGGGACGTATTCCTAGTGCGCGTTAGCCGTGGTGCCCATTCCCCTGCGTCAACAAGCGGCCTGTTTGGCTTACCATGGCAAGATAGATGCTCTTGTCATCCTGGAAGGCGTAGAGCAGTCGGACGAGCCATTCGCTCTTTGCGGTAGTCAAGATGTCGCGCTCAGTCAAGACATGGCGGACCTCGTCCAGCTTGAACAACAGCTTCTTGCTCATCACCTTGAGCGCGCAGACCTCTTTCGTATCCTTCTTCTGGGCCAAGTAGACCTGCCCATAGCCTCCTTGGCCGACTTGCGTGAGGATCTGGAAGTCGCCCTGCCTCAGCCGAGTGCGTCGCTTGCGCAGGTTCGCTCGCTCACGACCGAGGTACTGTGTGAGGGCGTCATTGTACTCAGTCTCGTCCGTCTCTGGCGGCGCAGGATTCTGGGCCTTGAACTGCGAGAGTCGGTTCTGGCGCGTGTGTACGTAGGTGAGGAGGTCGAAGTAGTAGTCGAGAAAGTCTATAGAGCATGGATGCATTAGTTGTGGCTCAGTACGATGGCGGCATGGTACCATTGCACCATTACATGTCCATGGGACTCACAGAGCTGTGTGACGTTGGCGAGACGCTTGACCGCCGGTTTGCGCGCCTTCTCGAGCTCCTCTGGCGACAGGCGTTGTGGACCCTGGAGGTAGCGCGTCGACTGCTCCGCCTCTCTCGCCCGATAGGGTTCCTGACGTGACTGTGCTGCATGAGTCAGGTAACTCGGTTCCTTCTGTACGCCCGCTCGTGCACTGGGTGGTGTGTTTTCCTTGTTGGACTTGCGCGTCGGACTGCCAGGCGTGATGGTCGTCTGGTCGGCCGCCGGCGGAGAGTAGTCGGCCCCCCCGGCGGTCTGCAGCGCCGTCTTGTTGGGAGAGGTGGGCGTGCCTGGCTTCGGCTTGGACGGCGAGCCCATGGTGGGCAACAGGCGCATGGCATTCTCGAAGACATGGGGTAGATCGAATGCGCCGGGTGGCTGGTGGTGTTTGCTCGGACTGCCAGTGGGCGTTTGCTGTGGGCTCATAAAGGCCTCTTGCGGCGTGCCTGGGCGATCCATCTCGCTGCCTCCTCGAGTCTTCACTGGCAACGGTGGTACGGGCCTCTGCAGATGGAAGTCGTCTTTGTTTGACGCCTGCTGTTGTTTGCTCGGAAATGGACCTTGGACTTTAGAAGTGGCAGCAACCCCAGAACACAAGGCGTGCGCGGAGTGGATTGCGGGCCGCAGCTAAACGTCAACTCAATGCTGCAGACGAATGGTAAGAGCGAAGCAAGTCAAAAGAGCATCAGCAAATCAAGCCCAAGGAATGATCTACGGTGCAGACCGGAGGATCGGAGGGGGGAAGGGGGTATGTAGATCGAGAAGCAGAGCGACAAGAGAGCAAGTCCCATGCCAGATGCAGTGCAGTGCGGCGTTGTTTGGTAGTGTACTTGTGTAGTGTTGTGTTGTGCTGCGGGGTGCTTGTGTTTTGGCCTCGGGCTGCTCCGGGCAACGATTCATTCATTCCCGAGTGGGGCTGTCTCGACACTAAAAAAAGGACCCGTGGACCCCCTTCCTATGTACAACACAATCAGGTACAGGACCTACCAATACAATACTGCAACTCTGCACTAGGTATACTACTACAGCTATGTCGTAATGGTCCCAAGCCAAGTAAAGGACGCCTGACTATGCCGACAAGCGTACTTGTCAGCCCAACATGGCCACTGAAACACTTCACTTCATCCACATGGGCCTGATCTCTCACATACCCCTTGTGTATAAGCTTACTACATAGGGTGTTCCTGTACATATACCCTCTCTCAAGAAAACCATATTTGCCCATCAAGTACCGTACATACACCTACAAACACCTGACCGTCAAAGTTGAACCCCGTGAATATGATCCACATGGCCCTTGGCCACTCCATGCAAGTAATGCCCCGCAGAAACGCCGTAGGGGGGGGGGGGAAGACCGATAAGCTTATCATCCAAAACAAATGATATCATAGTTTCCATCTCGCCGACTCATGGGCTCCAGCGGCCTACCTACTGATCGACTGAAAAACACGTGCCGAAACCATATTTCTCCACACCCTCCCAACTTTCTCCTCATCCTCGTCGTTTTTCGTCGTTCTCTTTTTCGTTTTCGTTTGCATCGTCGTGTACTCCATTGTGTTGACAAGGGGAGTACCGAATCTACATGCTAGGGAATTCTGCCCGGTGTTCTTGTGGATAGAGACGGTGGTGGCCGAATTGTCGCTGACTGATGGCGTGCAACATGGCGTGGCTGTATCGAGCCGCATCAAATCGCGGAGGACGTCGTGGTGGTTCAATGAGTTGCTTCCGACACATGGGGCATGTTACCTTGTTTTTGTGCGTCATACAAGTCTCAAACTAGAGCAACACCGTTAGAGCAAAAGCAAGAAATGGAGAGGTTAGGGTTACCTACCCAAATGTGAATGCAGCACTCTCCAAAACAGTGTCCACACGGCAGCTCAATGGCGATTTCTGCTTCCTCGCTCGGCTTCACGTCGACGAGCGAATAGTCTTTTGAGCAGATATCGCACTCTTTTGAAGTATCCTCGGAGAGTTCGCTGGGGAGACGTCGTGGAAGCTTTTCTTTGAGCTCTTGAATCTGCTCCGGACTGGCAACGTTCGGATCATGTGCTTGGCGCTGCCCAAAGACTCGTGGCCCTCGCATTCGTTGCCTTGCGCGACTAGAGGGTGGTACACGCGCAGCAGCTTCATCTGCGTCAGACGACGTACTCGATTGTGGCAGATCGACTGAATATCTATCAAAGCTCCGGCGGCTAGACGTCCGTGGAGAGTTGCTGTGATCTGACTGACGGCCTTGAGCCTCCACGAACATGGAAGAACGCCGAAGGGCCGCCCCATGTTCGACTCGCTCGTTGGATAAATCTCCATGCTGTGATAATCTCGTATGTGTACCTAGGACCAGACGGGGCGAATCTATATTGTCCGCATCGGGCGACCGCATCGGTTCTTGCCTGGCGTATGGTGGTGGATTCGATCCCATTGACGAGTTCTGTGGTCTTCGAGCGAATGGATTAGACTCCATCGCGGATGGCAAAGCAGGATGGTACCCAAAAGCGGCCGATGCATAGAAAGCGTCTCGCGAATAATCACTTCGCGTGTGAAGTCCATGAATCCCAGCATACTCTCTGGCATCCGGCCGCCAGTTGGTCCGCTCGCTACGGATGGCTGGAGGTGGCCTTGGCTGTGAGGGATCGTATGGGTGGACGCGGGGTGGTGTTGGATAGGACATTTGGTGATCGCCATTTGGCAGATAGGGCGAGCGAACTTGATTCTCTCCTCTCCTCTGCGTCCAATCCAGAATGGGCATCATGCGTGGAGTGCTCATGTGTGCATAAGGTGCATATGGTTGTGGAAACGGAAGAGCATGGGAGGATTGGATCGGGGCCTCCAAGTCTGCCACTGAGGCCCCAGAAGCTGTGGGCATGGAGTGCCATGGAGTCGGGTCATAAGCTGAATCTGCCATGTATGCTTGGTTCCGTGAAGCGGTTGGCTGCGTGTTGCACAACGGCAGTGGTGAGCTGAAGGAGCCGTGATGCAAACTGTATGCAAGACTTTGTCAAGGGCAAAAAGAAAAAGAAAAAGAAAAAGGCCTGGTCCAGACAGGTGGAAAACACTACGATAGGGGGTGTGTGGGTTGAGGGTCGAAGTGGATATCGAAGAAGAGTGGTTTGGTGGATGTCACGAACAGCGAGGCCTCCTCTGCGGCCTTGTAGAAGAGGGGCAGAGTGGAGCGTTGGATCTGTACTTCACAGGTGAGGCAAGGACCCGAAGGTGCGACAATAAGGGCCAGAGCGCGGTCAAAAGGCGGCAACAATAGCAGCAAACTAGGCTTCCACCGACCGTGTAGCTGCGTTGAGGGAGAACTGCAAGCAGGCCGGAGGAGGGAAGCTGGGAAGAGGGGCGAGATTTAGCCCAGAGATGTACGGTAATGTGACGCTGGCAGCAGTGCAGCACCGTGGATGGCTTTTTGGGCTTCTCCCGTGCCTTGTCGACGATGGCAAGTAAGCGACAGGTTCCGACGCCTAGGAGCAGCTGACTTGTTGACTTGGGGGCAAGCAATCTAACGTGAATGGTGGGTAAGGTAGAGTAAGAAGCGGGAGGCACGCCTTTGCTGCTGGCTCTCTGTCTGTTCGGGCGTGACGGCTTGAGCGAGCAGGACCCTGTTCGGGTGCTCGTTGCTCGTTGCTCGTTGCTCGTTGCCGTCGGTGCGAAGGCGCATCCATCTGCTCCTTGCGCAGGCAGCGCAGCGACAATCCGCTTGGAGGCGTGTGCTTGCTGGCCGGCCGGCTGGCTGGCTTGCTTGCTTGCTTGCTCGCCTTTCTCTGACCGCTTTGCACGAGCGAGCAGCGAACAACCAGCAGTGGACGGCGCATTCGGTCAACTACCTGTCTACACTTTACCCAATCAATCCTGACCAATCCATGCCCATCCATGGCTCATACCCGTCGCGAGGCCGACACCAGCAGTAAAGTGGGAGCATGGCCAGTGGCCAAGGACCAGCGCCCCAGGCCAGGTACGAGGTATGTTTCACTCAATCAGCAACAGCACGAGGGGGGGAGGGGCGTCGTTGGCCCAAGAGACCAAGAGTGTCGCCGAATTTGGTTATGGAAATTAATGCCGAACCTCCAGCGATGAACTCTACCACCCAGCCCTGGAGGGAAGCCTATACCTGCCTAGAAGGCCGTCTCCAAGAAGAGTGCGCAGCATGCCCATGCCCGAAAGCGGAATACTCCCATGGTACGCCAGATGACTAGTAGGGAGGAGTGGGAATACCTACTAGAACAGTATGTACATGATGGAGCAGTAGGGGGAGGGGGGGGGGGGGCGAGGGGGCAAACTCAGCAGCTGGTGGAACAAGAGCCACGGCACCGCTGCATCCACGCAAAACGACTGAGTCGAACGAGGCTCCACGTCGCATGCAGAGGCCATCCTTGGGGACTACTGCCCCAGCTGCAGGAGCCCTCTCGGGAGTGAGCAGCGGCCTGGAGATTACGAACGGTGAGTAATAGGTAGGTATGGGTGAAACAACGAGGGTGGTCAGGGACGGATTGTCGGTGGAACTAGGTAGGTTATTTGCCAATGCCTTCCCCAGGATGGATATTGAAGAAGGGAGAGAGGGACGGGAATCTTTTGCTGGGACTCTCATGCCGTCGTAGTAGCATTAGCTAATCCAATATACTCTACATGCGTATGTCTTGGCAAATCTGCCAGTCACGTGCCCGCCTACCCGCGTCCCGATCCGATCCGGGTTCAGCCCGCAGTCACAGCGAACAGGCTCCGACATGTCCCGCTGTCAGTTTTTTTTTGGCATAATCTGGGGATCTCGAGAATCGGTTCAAGACAAACCCGCGAGGAATTGCTTCCATTAGCAACTTGAGCTCTGTCTCTGCTTCCCTTTACCGCTTGCGCCAGGCCGTGTTCCCCTTCATCCTCCTCCTTCTCCTCCTTCTCCTCCTCTTGCCTTCGCCTACATCCATTTCCCACCCGCTGCCATGTTTCGCACTGCTCGAACCAAGCTCCGTCCTGCCGAGGCCGGCGCAATGCGCTCACTCGCACATGCAAAGACGAGCCCCTCCTTCGTCATCAGTGCCCGCAATCCTCGTCCTCTCTCCACCATCACCCGCCAGCCCGTCACATACACGCCTCTGAAGACCCAGACCTTCTTCCAGCGCCGCGCCTTCAGTGCCACCAGCAGCATCATGGCCAACACCCGCACCGAGACGGATGCCTTTGGCCAAGTTCAAGTCCGCGCAGACCGGTACTGGGGAGCCCAGACGGAGCGCTCTCTGGAGAACTTCAAGATCAATCAGCCCCAGGACCGCATGCCCCCGCCGATTGTGCGCGCCTTTGGCATCTTGAAGGGCGCGGCTGCCACAGTCAACATGAAGTACGGCCTGGGTACGACATCTTTGAGAGGGGCTCTGTGCTGGGATGCTGACTTGAACCTGTAGATCCCAAGATTGGCAAGGCGATTCAGCAGGCGGCTGAGGAAGTCGCCTCCCTCAAGCTCATCGACCACTTCCCTCTCGTCGTCTGGCAGACGGGCTCAGGCACACAGTCCAACATGAACGCAAACGAGGTCATCTCCAACCGTGCCATTGAGATTCTGGGGGGCACCATGGGCAGCAAGAAGCCTGTCCACCCCAACGACCATGTCAACATGTCTGCCTCCTCCAACGACACCTTTCCTACCGTCATGCACATCGCCGCTGTTCTCGACTTTGAGGAGTCCCTCCTCCCAGCCCTTGCTAGCCTGCGCGACGCACTCAAGAAGAAGAGCCAGCAGTGGGAGAACTTGATCAAGATTGGCAGGACTCACTTGCAAGACGCGACGCCCCTGACGCTCGGTCAAGAGTTCTCTGGCTACGTCCAACAGCTCGACTTTGGCATAGAGCGCATCAAGAGCTCGCTTCCCCGCCTCAAGATGCTCGCTCAGGGTGGCACAGCCGTTGGGACGGGTATCAACACGTTCAAGGGCTTTGCCGAGGACATTGCATCCGAGGTTAGCAAGATGACTGGCCATGACTTCGTCACGGCCCCGAACAAGTTCGAAGCCCTGGCAGCTCACGATGCAATCGTCGAGGCTCACGGCCAGCTCAACACCCTCGCCACTTCCCTCTTCAAGATTGCACAGGATATCCGCTTCCTCGGCTCCGGTCCACGCTGTGGTCTTGGTGAGCTCAAGCTCCCCGAGAACGAGCCCGGGTCGTCCATCATGCCCGGCAAGGTCAACCCCACTCAATGCGAATCCCTGACCATGGTTTGCGCTCAGGTCTTTGGAAACCAGGCTGCCACCACCTTTGCCGGTTCCCAGGGTAACTTTGAGCTCAATGTCTTCAAACCGGTCATGATCCGCAATCTGCTGCACAGCTCGCGTCTGCTTGCAGATGCCATGACTAGCTTCGAGAAGAACCTCGTTGCTGGTTTGGATGCGGATGAGAAGCGCATTAGCTCCATCATGAATGAGAGGTACGAATTCTCCTCGGTACTCAATATCCCTTTATAATTGCAAATACTAACGATGCCATAGTCTTATGCTGGTAACCTGCCTTAACCCCGTCATCGGTTACGATGCTGCCAGCAAGACCGCAAAGCACGCCCACAAGAACGGCCTCACACTTAAAGAGGCAGCGCTCAAGCTCGAGGTCATCAGCGAAGCGGATTTCGACAAATATGTGCGACCAGAGTTGATGATCAACCCAAGCGATTACAAGCCCAAGCAGTAATTGTATATTGAATGTGGAGGAAAAAAGCGAGCATGCAAAAGTTGTACTGTACATGTCTGTATGCATAGAAGGAAATTCGAACACTCTAGCCTTGTGGCGCATCAGCTCGGACCGCATTTGCTCAATACTGTGAGAAGACGAATCATGGGAAAGATGAAGACACGGGTTTTTTCTTTTCGCTGACGCTGCAGAATATGCGAGAAACATTTCACGGTCCCGCACCCAACGTTTTGGCATCGGCTGGATACAAAGACTTTTTCTTTCCCACGCCATCATCGCTGTGATATGGTTCCCTATAATCTCGAACTGCATTTACGACATTGCAGCATCCTATGCGTATACAATACTGCCGAGACGAATTCAGTCATAGTGCTATGTTAGGCCAACAGCACATCGTAGCGTCCACCATCGACTAGTCTGAAAGACCCAATATGGAAACATGGACATTGATATGAAGAGTCATGTGTCCTTCCCCAAAGTCCACGTGAAGGTCGCACAGCCCAAACCCTCGTATCAAGAACCTATAGGTGTAATATCGACAATGAGATGCGCCTCTGCAATTTGCATACCTTCGCGCCCTGGTTGCCTCGAGAGCTGCGTTATTCGTGATGAGGCGGTGCCTCGACTGCTTCGCTTGGATGGAGAAATTGCATTGCACTGCTTCATCTCACACTCTCCCATCTACCCACATCGAGACATTGGTATCGCGAGACTCTTGAGTTCAGTCATACCAAGAAATCCTAATCATTCGTACATGGCGAGAACGTCTGGGGCAGCCCCACCCTCTGCCTCGCCAGGTCCTCTGTGTCGGGCTTAGCAAACTGTGCTGCGGTGGCATGTGTCAGAATCTTTTTTGTCAGCCTTTCCATATTGCGGCGCAGATACTCGATCACGGTGCCGGAGCTCTCGCTGCGGATCTGCAGGATCTCGAGGTCGGAGCGGAAGGCTGCCAGGTCCTTGTTTGTGGATGCGGAGGAGGCCTGTGCCTCGAGTTCAGCCAGGCGTTTAATGATGGAGTCCGGGGAAGATGGGGACAGGGCGTCGAGCATGGAGTGGAGTACTATGTGACCGGATGTGAGGGCCGCAGTTTCGGCGCTGGAAGTTGTGTTTTCTTGCTCGAGGTGGAGAAGGCGTTGCTGGAGGGTGTGTATGGAGGTCTTGTGGGTGCTTTCAAGCACACTGATGCGTTGCTCTGTCGCTACTCTAAAACCCGCGAATTGCTCGCTCAGGGGTCGAATCGAGTCGGCTAGGTTTTTCTTCTCCCTCTCCAGTTGCGAGACGCGGTGCTCCAACGCCTCCATCTTAATTGCATCGACATTGCCACGCGTATTCTCCGTCAACCGCTCGATTGTTCGCCCCAAAGCCGTCGTTTCTGCCGCATGATGCGTCTTCAGCTCCGTCAGCTCCTCTGCGTTGCTCTTCAACAGCCGCCAGAATGTCTTGAGCGAGTCGCTGTGCTCCCGCAGCACTTTGCCATGCATCCTTGCCGTCTTGTACGCGTATTCGAATTTCGTCAGTGCAGGCCGGTCTTGGATCGACGGCGCTTCAGTGGCACATGTATCGAGGGTGGTGGGATTTTCATTTCCATCCGGGCTATGCGGGCTGGCGGGCGCTAGAAGGACATTTTCATTGCTCTTGACCCTCGACTCCAGGCTCTCCCATCTCGTGAGCAGATTTTTGTAACATTCTGTCAGGGTTATGATACCGTTGTTCAAAGCGGCGACGTTGGTATGAACACGGTCGATCATAGCTTTGTGGTCTTGGATAGTGTTCCGCATAGCTTTGGTTTGCTGGTGCAGGGCTCTAGTAACGCCCTCTTGGATTTCCAAACACCTACTCGCGAAGTCCTTGCGAAAGGGCTCCAGGTACTTCTCCATGGCATCGAAGCCAGAGGCAAACCATGTCTGAAGGGAGTTTGTTTCCAGCTTAGTACCGTGATAGGGCTTGTTGCTTTGGTGGCACTCTTGTACGTCGTCTGGATCTCTCTGCCGCTTCGACTGCTCAGAACATCAACGTACTGTACAGAAAGTATGGTAGTTGGTCTCCTTACATTCGTTGGCCTTGTGCTAGAAGGCGACGCAGCATCCCGTTGGTCATGTCCCGCATCAGCGTTGTCAGTGTATGCACCTGCATCCTATCAGTCCAACCCCAGAAGCCTTTGCAAGCACAAAATCAGCTTACACCCACCATTCCGATAAGGCGAACGCAACGACATCTCGGCGCGTATCTATATCAAGAGACACCGAAATTTCGACTATATTGTGTGAAATCACCCACAAACCAACACAAAACAAGTCTCCACACACGCAAAGAAAATCCAGAAACTTCGCCACGGAATAAATACAAAACAACTCACTAACCCCATACTCAATCCATCACACACGGGAAGAAGAGAAAAAACCCGCCCATATTCCAGCCACCCATCTCCCAACAGCCCCCATCCCGCAAGGCCCCGGGCATCAGCTCGGAAGCACCTGCACAAAAACCATCACCACTGATGCAAGTACCCCATGTACCCAATCCCTAATCCCCAATCCCCAATCCCCAGCCCGTGCCCCCCCGCGGCAGCCCCAGACGCACGTCAAAGCAGTCGAAAAGCTCTCTGATTCGCAGCCCCTGCGTCGCACAGATGCAAGACTGCGGCGGCGCTGCTGCCCGTCGCTGCACCGTTACTATACCCACTGTACAAACTGCGTCGCGTGGCCTGCGGGGAAGGGTTCCCGGTGTGTTGTGGTTGGTTGGAGGGGGTGTGGATATTGTACGCTAGAGGGTGTTTATGTAGGGATTTTTGAATGGGGATGGGTGCTTTGGATGGGGGATCTCGTGTAGGGGGGGGTTTGAAGGGGGGAGGGGGAAGGGGGGAAGGGGGGAGGGAGGGGGTTTTTGCGAGCTTGTTTTGCTTTGGGTGTGTTGTTTAGGTGGTGGTGGGGTATGTTGTTGTTATTGGCTAGGCTCTATCCTAGGGGGGGGGGTGGTCTGGCTTTTGCAGTGAGTGTAATTTGGCTTCGTTGAGACATATTCTGATGCTCCCCTATTATTCACTCTTTAAGAAAACCCTACCATGACCGTCGCATCTTTTCGTGACATACGATCTCATCTCCAGGATGTGTGGTACTCGCCTATTCGCCTCTTCAGAGTAATACTGCCACTCTACACATGCCAAGGAGCATTAAGCGGGTTAAAGCACTTTAAACCTACGACATTTCCTACACAAAAAAGCAAAGAACTATATACTTCTTACGGCTGACTGCATATGTCCTTGCCACGGGACGTCCATCTTCAGAGTAATCAGCATGAAGCACTGCAAGGAACAAGCAGCTTTTGTGTATCAACCCAATTGGTACTAGCATAGCGTATCTGGCCTATCACACTGATACCTATAGTCTAATCCTCCGCGGAAGACATCCAGCGATTGAGTGCCTGGCATTCTACTATAGCTCCTTTGTACAACGAGGTGGCGATGTGTTTGGTTGTCTGGTAGATGTGGGTGTGGTTGGGTATGTGGACTTTTCGGTCACGCTTCATGAGCTTTGTGGATTTCTTTTTGGAAAAAATTGGTTTTTTCTGTCTGTTATTAATCATGGTTAGGGGTGTTTGACGTTGAGGGGGATGGTTGATATGGGTCTATATATGATATGTAGGTACTCGTAACAAGGTCCTAGAATCTCAATGACAACGACGTACAACGGTACACCCTTGAGAAGAGCATGTCATAGGTCCTGCAAAAATCTCGTCTCTGATTACCTATGGTACACAAATCGGCCTATTTACCCTACCCTACGACAATCCCACCTGTCCCCAGACAAACGAAGCATTCCTCGCCAAGACCGGTACCCTTTTACCATGACTCGTGTCGTGTCTCGGCTAATTCATTCTATAAACAGTCACGTGACACAATGCATTGTACCTACGCGACGCAGCTCTCGGAAACGATGCTGATTGACGGCACTTTGCTCCGGTTTGTTGGTGCGACTAGTTCACTAGGGGCAAGACAGGCGCCGGCTCGGAACGAGATGGCAATGGGATATTTACCGTACTCTTTTGTACGGTCGCTACTCATGTACGCATATGGGTCCTCGATTCGATTTTCCTGATTAGGACACATGGTTTCGTTGTAGACTGTTAGTGTTCGTGATTGGTGGTGATGGACGTCTTGGAGGATTATACATGGATGCATGTGTATTTGCACTTTGTTGGTGAGAGTACAAGCGACGTTCTTTGAGTAGTCGTTGGAGAAGCATTGAAGGAAAGCTTTGAGATGAATTGGATAAGGTGTTTGCGCTGAATCTTCTCGCACTGATGAGTACATGTGATTGGCAATTCACTTGACTGTAGCAGATGTGTATCTCCTTGCTTAGAAATCTCCAGTTTCCAAAGTATTGTATTCTCTAGAAGCCTCCCTCGATGCTATACATCTCATCTCCGCTTACTCTCACTCCGCTGAGCGTGGCATGGGACGCTTAGGGCCACCTGGCTGGTATCGGTGTTTTGACCCAAGCGCGTACCGGTAATTCTCCCCGGATGGGATCAACGCACCATCGTCGTTTTGACATGCAACATCTCCGTCAAGTCTCCGTGGATGTTACTGCTTTCAGTAGTTCTTTAGAAAATGTGACGATTGCAGTGCTAAAGCTCGACACGAAGTTCCTGTTCCTTGGACGGACAATCTCTAACAGGGCAAGAGCGAAGCCATAAAGGCATAGGTACTGCGGCGAGAAACTGCGTGGCGGCTCGAGATGGTTACGGTACCGGTATGCTGAGGATTGGCAGCGGATAACTTTCCATTGGTAGCGAGGAGACATCAAAATTACATCCGCGGCGCCCTTGTGATCGACGGTAACTGCTGGCACTTGAGTGCCATGCATTGTACGTAGAGATGATGCTCTTCGTGCTCAGGAAACATGATTTGCAATCGGACTGGTACAGCATGGTGATGAGTTGGATAAAGTTGACATGTAAGCTTGGAGAGTATCATACGGCCATTTTTTTGTCGCCACAGAGTGCACCGCGTTCCGACCATCACCCACACAAAAAAGGGCAGAAACTGGCAAAACAGGCTTGACGGGCCGGCCTCAGGCTCTGCAGTAGCTTTGTCCACCTCGTCTGTACATGGCACCCAAATGCATTGCTCATTCTTCGTCACACTCCCTGATACCACTGCAGCGAAATCGACCGCACTCACCACGACAACATGGTCCAAACGCGTACGGGATTGCGCATATATGAAGACAAGGCAGGCCGTCGCTCTCCAGGCCTCATACAACCGTCCGCGTACCGGTAACTTTACCGGTATGCCCAGGGATGCATCCTTTCCTCCGCTCAGTCTCGATCGAGCCAAGCCGACTCCTTTGCTTCACCCACAACCCTTTGAGCACACGGCAATCTCGCAGCAGCACCTCGCATGACTCGGTAGCCATCAAGAGTCCCCAGATTTCTGAACCTTCTGGAATGTAGATGACCGGCTGACCGGTGAAGCTGACGTTCTAGAGCTTTGCCTGGGGCGCTTTGCGTGATTCGCATCGGAACGAGCCTTCCGCAACGCTGCTAGTGCAATACCGTAGGGAGTACTGCCGGCCTCCAACCATCTCCAGACGGGACACTCCAGCCTAGGCCACATTCATCTCCACGAAGAATGTGGGGTGCGAAGATGCGTGAGAAATGAGCCCCAGGATTCTGGGCCAGCGTTTCATTGTCGTTGCTATCTACCGGAGCCGGCTCTCCGGTCGTCGAAAGCTTTGGTTCTGCCAATAGGTACGGTAGGTACGGTAGAGAATGAGGCAAACGCATGTGGGTAACGTAGACTCGACCCCGTCTTGTACGGTACCCGCCGTGGCTTGGCCTGAGGTATAAGTAGGCACCGATCAATCCGCCCTTTACAAACGCTTTTGCTGATCCATCCTGCTGGTTGTGCAATCGAGACTGTTCCATCTCCATCCGTGGAGATCATGACTGGAAAGGCATACGGTACCGGAGCCGCGTGACGACAATGTCCAGGATCTCATATTCTTGCCCGAAGCACTTTCCTGGAAGACGAGGAGTCTGGACATTGACACAACATCACTCATCCTTCTGCCACTCGCACTATCTCGTCATATAGTAGTCCTGATGGAAAACTGGCGCAGTGGGATACCCCGTTGCCGTATCATAGCCTGTGTACGAGACACTTCCTGATGGAGGTGCCATGGTAGCATATTGCGTTGCGTAGTAAGTATTGAGTGCGCCCTCAGGTACCGGTACGACATTCGCAAAACCTGCGACTGCCTGTTGACTTTCTGCAGCCCATTGCGAAGGCGTATTGGACCAATGCCGTCTTGCGACAGTCTGGAACAAGCCAAGCGCTATGGTGTGAGCTCGCTCCGCAGTCGGATCCTGCATGGCCTCGAGCCAACGCAAAGATTTTGTCACAAATATCTCCAAGCGTCTACTCTCTTCAGATGAGGAACACAAGATACCAAGGAAGAAGACGGAGATGGCTTGCATAAGATGGTGGACAATGCACCACCACGGACCCAGGTCGTAGATGAGTTCGGGACGCGGATCATCGGGCAGAGATTCGACGACGCTTTTGGCAGCTTCTATGCACATGTTGCCCATGCGTTTTGCAAAGCTCGCTTCTCTTGCCTCCTTCCAGGATTGCCAAAGATATGGCCTGGTCAAGAGGATTCTTGCGCTGCAAACTTGGAAACCAAGAAGCATGCGTTCACGACTGAATTTGTTGCCGACCTCACTGCATGGATATTGCGAATTGAACTCGGCCGGAAGTGCCGTAATCCATTGGTCGAGGCACCGTACAAGCTGGCCGGTTTGTTGCTGGATTTCGCTGGAGGGCCGAAGACTTGTGCCCGCCGAATAAAGCGAGGTGAGTATGTTCCGAGTGATGGCAGACAGCTGCACCACAGCCCGAAAGTAAGATCCCGAATTCGCCTCCACAGCCGCGGCATTGTTGGAGAAATCAAAGGCTGTGCTCGAGGAAACTGAGAACGTTGGGCTCGCGGCGTGGAGCATCGTGGCGCTCTCTTTTTGCATGCGATGTGCGGCCTCGAGCTCTTCCGAAGTAGTTCCCTCTGGAACCGGAGCTGGCAGGGGAACAGAACAGTACGAATCGACAATGATACTTGGCCGGCCGGTAATGATGCTCAGAGTACGCTCGAGCGAGTATAAACTCCACCAGGTGCGGGCCAAGTTTTCCCGTTTGACTGGAGACGCGGAAGGGTCCTCATTGCGAAGATGAAGCCCAAGGGAGTATGCGGCACGAAGAGCCATACCAATGATTGTCCATGCACTGTAGTCGTTAGTATATCCTTTCTTCGGACAAAGACATTGGACGAAAGACCTACCGGCTGACTTGACCGATAGAAAGCCAGTAAAACGCTAGGAGGCCCAAACCTTGTATCTGTAGTACATCGGCGGGGCTTGTAAATGTCGACTCATTAAGAACAAAAGCTCGTGCTCGAGATTGGTAAACGAGATGATCACGCTCATCCGCTCGCCAGTTCGCTTTGACGAGATGCGAGTATTTTGCGCCAATCGCAAATACAAGGTTCAGAATGGCCTGCCACTTTGGACTTGTATGCATTGCATTCCCAGTTTGTAGCGCCGTAAAGTATACCCGGAAATGGCCTTCAAACGTCTTGCGCTGAAGGATTGGAAAGGAGTCGTGGACCTTGAGCATATAGCACTGCAATAGACGTTCGGCCGCGTCCCGTTGTGGCAGCTCGTATGGGTCGATGTAGACATCGAGATCGACACTGTCATGATCTGCCCAGAAGCTAAACGAGTTTACCTGTTCGCCAGGCGGGACACAGGACGGCTTGCGCTGGGTGGATGGCCCTGCCGGTTGCTCATCGATTCGTTCACGCGGTGCCAAAGCGACAGCACGTAACCACTGGAGTTCCGAGTTCATCCCGACGAAACCAGTCGCACGAGCACGCCCATCTTCGAGAAGGTTTTCGTCTAGCAAGTCCAAGGAGTGGGTGTCGACATCGCCGTCGTACTCTTCGCCGGTATAGTCTCTGCTGTCTTGCGAGGCATAAGTGTCAGACTCGACATTGGAAATCCCAGCTGTTTGGTGGAGGTCTGAGATGTCTTCTTCGACCTGCATTGTGTTAATGGCTGACTCTTGCCGTGGATGGTTGGCTAGGCCGCGGAGGACAAGAGTACCGATTCAAGGATATCCGCGATTTTCACATTGTCTTCAACGCCGACATTGTCCTTTAACGTCTTCAACAGCTTAGCCATTTGACTGCATCGCAGGGTGACGCTGTGAAGGTTTAGTCAGGGGCCATTCAAGAAGCGAACATCGGACATACATCTTCAACCGATCTTTCCGCGGCATGATGTAGACGCATTCGCGACTTGTGGTCGCACAATGCCTGCATTGTGGCCGTTCGCCAGTGCATTTGATTTTGTGGGAGCGACACTAGGGATGGACATGTATTGTTAGAAAAATAGGCACGAAAAGAAGGCGAGATTCTAGCCTATCCAGGGAAATGCGGCCAACAGGGAGACGATGCATATCCACCCAGGGACCGACCTCTCATGCGAAGACAGACAGTCCTTTCGCAACTCGCACTTACACCTGTACACGCTCGGGGGACCCTCCGTCGATCCTTGCTCACGCCTTGTCCGGGCCCTTGTTTCTGCAGGCGTGGTATCGCGACTTTGCGCTGACCGACGCTCGTCGAGGCAAAGCCGGGTTGATAATGGTGGTCCACGGCGTGGGAAGTCATGTTCAGTGGCGCGGGGTCGGGGATCGAAGATGTGCTGCCACTATTTCCAGGAATGCCCGACTCTAATAAAGCCGGATGAGGATAACGGAATTAAGCAGGAAGAAACGAGCTGGATCCTGACAGGATGACTAGATGACTGTCATGTTTGCCAGACTCAAGCGGCAACCACATGCGGCTCTGGCCTAGCGAGCATGGTTAACGAGGGGATGGCCCAGCGGGATTCAAGATTTTGAAGGCTACGCCCTGGAATTCGATGCGTGTTTAGACGAGTACACGCACTGTTCGGACGTTCGCTCGCAGTACAATGTTAGGCTCCTTGGAAAACATCACCGAACCAATGAGCGTGGCGGCGTCCCCCACATCCTTGACCACCTTATCCGCACCATGAGGGGTAGGTAGCTATTTGATTTCCCCCTACGTTGACATGGCCATCTATGGATCTGTCTCTCTGCAGGCCAGATGGATAGTCTTCTCTCCAAGATTACGTTCCTCACGAGATGGGGCCACGACGATCACTCATGGGGGGAGGGGAGGGGGGGGCCAGAGCATCCACTGTCCAACACTGGATCCATAGTAGTACCCTACCACCGCCCTCGCTCACGGCGTCTAGACGTTTGCCGGGTATAAGCTTTTCGACGACGTCTGCCTCACCGATCTTGGATTTAGATCTTGCATAAATAAACCTCACTCTGCCCGTTTTGCTGCTGACCAGGTGGTAGGTAGAGCTGCGTCTGCTACCCGCTGCATTCCACGACGCGACTCCTGGTCATCATGATGTATGACGTCCAGGAATGTTGGACTCGGACTTGTTTCGAACGGGGTAGGGGAGAAGGGCAAAGTAAGCAGTGGGGATCTCTCCAAAAGCCCCAGTCCAGTGTGCTGTACGTACGTAGGTAGGTAGGTAGGGCAGCAGCGACATTGTTCATGCAGTAACCAAGCCAAGCCGAAAGCCTCTAATACCTGTTTCCCATCACTTCACCCAAACAACATTATACAGATGGCGTGAACTTGTCAGCACACTTCGTGCAACCGCCTCCCCAGCTAGTCTTGCATGCCCTCCCATCTCCCGAACTATTCCAACACTCGACCAACCCGCGCGCGCACCGCCAGTGGCGTGAGTTTGAACATGGGAAAAGTCAAAAGATGGGAATCAACTTCCCTCGAGTGCTAGATCTAGGGAACCGTGCCAACTTGAAACAAACTGTTCAGAAGAAAATCCAATTACTTTTTTTTTGCAGCATGGGCCACCACCCCATACCAACCGCCTTGCAACACACCTGAACGATGGCACTTGGTACGCGTTTCGATAGCGGTTTCGTACCTATTGGTAGGTAGATATTCTTCTCCTTTGCCACCACGAAGGGGCAGTTGTAGCCGCGCATGTGAACTGTATATATTTGTGTCACATTACCTCCGACTAACAAAAGAGGCAAAAACAGGAAACCCAAGCCAACCATGAAAGTCAGACCATACTTTCACAGTCCCCATTGGACACCACCAAGCCGCGAATACCTACCCTCCAATCGACGGCGATTATATTTTGGGTTTTCTTATTTAGCCCCAATTCCCAGCGCGCCCCAGCATCCAGCCTCATCCTCATCCCGCCTTGCCCCCACTGGCGCAAGCCATTATTTTTAGCGTGATGACGGATATCCCATTGTCCGGCCGTGCAAATTTCCATGGCCTGGCCACGGCAAAGTTGCATTTGCCCGATCTCGCGTCCCTAGGTATCCGATTGTTTTATGCTTTTGTGCGCTAGGGGAAGCGCTTCCGTTTTCCGTGCCCGGAGCGAGTTTAGTACTGACTGTGTGATACCATACTATGTATCATGTGACAGATAGGTAGGCACGGAGTAGGCAAGGTCAAGTCATTGATACGACAAAGGCATTCGTCATTCAGATTTCATTGTCAAACGGTCGAGCGCCAGATTTGGTACCTACCTACCTATGTAGGGATACAAGGTTCATGCCGTCGGCGTAATTTTGCCGAAGTAGGATCTTGGAGGGTCTACAAGTCATTGTTCGGGCTGACGACTATAAATTCACGATGCAGTGCGCGTTATGCTCCACCCCAAGGGGCGGTGGGGAAGTCAGTTCGCGCCGTGTTGCTGCACCCACGATGCTACCATAGGTCCTTACCTACTGTATGTACGCCTGCGTGCTGCATCAGAGAGATCTCCTGAGATCATGTATGGTATCGTATAGGTATAGGTATACGTATGTACCTACATCACTACTATTAGGTAGCTGACCACATCATCATTCCTCTCTGTGCGCATTGATCTTTGAGCGATCGAGCGATCGCAGAGCCTGTCAGCGTGGACGAGCGAATGGAGCCAAGGCGCACTATGCACAGCGGCTAAGCAATAGACGCATAGGTATGATGTAAGGTATAGGTAACATGAACTCCTCTACACGCTAAAACATATTAGATGATCAAGGAACGAGTTCATCGTACCATGTTTGTGCACTGCGTATAACATCACGTGATTTCGTTACCACTCCGTCAAGCATTTTCTGCAGCAGTAGTGGACTGCGTTCACGATACCTACTATACAAGTAAGAAGTGGTTATGCGTAGGGTTCAAAAGTACTATTCTATATAATAATTCATACTCCGGAACCACGTACGTACCACGCCCAAGCCTAGAAGGTAAATACTCACTACCAACAAATAGCGGTTCACAACTGCCAAAAGTACCGTTAGTCTCTGTCGTGACACTCCAAGGCTTACTTTGCTGTTGTAACACATGAGCACCATATGCAAGTTAGTCTCAAACAAGAATTGTGGGTCACCACGAAACTCTTCGCACCCTTGCGCAACACCAGTGAAGGCAGGGTGTAGAAGGGATAGGGCTTGGAGATGGAAAATCATGTGATTGGAAGCACATTGTGTTTGCTGAAGTGAATAGGTACCGGGAATAAACATCTCTTGCGCTTGTCACCTTGTCACCAATGTTGTACGTTGAAATTGGAAATTGGCAAGCTTCATCAGGCGCAGAAGCATTTTTGTGAAGCGGAGCATAATGCTTCATCCCTACTCTAACAAGTGCACTATGAAGTAGGGCCCTTGATATTTTTTGGAATAGCCTCATTCTCTGGGGGAGCCCCATGATTCTCTGGAAGAGCCTCACTCTTCTCAAACAGCATACAGACCGTGCCCGAACAACAAGCGTAAACTTTCGCTGCTAGCTCACCTACGAATCATGTCGGCGCCTGCGAGACACGCAATTGTCGTTTGACTCTACTCTACCTATGCTAAGGATATAAACAGACTACCTGTTTGCATACGACGATGTACACGGTATACCCTCTCCAGGCTGTAGGCTATTGCGATCTAGAGTGAGGCCAGTACTGGTATGCGCCAGAAGGCACGCAAAGAACGCTATACACGTAGTCTTTGTGTCATTGATGTTGCGCATGTGAGACTCCACGGATCGAGCGGCTCAACTGAGCATCCAAGGTGGATGTATACGAGTGAAGGAAAAAAGCAAAGGACAACGAGAGCTCAGCAACATTAGCAGTAGTACGAAACCGCCTGTTTCACACAACCCATACACCGAGCGAATCATTCTCGAACAGCGAGCAGCTAGTTAACCTACCATGCACTCATCAAAAGATGGAATCCCCATTCCCATCCTCACACTGACCAGTTCACAGCCTTCAACTTCAACCTCATCCCCTTCTTCGGCTTACTCGTAATCGTACCGCCCACAACCACCTCCTCCTCCGGATCCGCCATCCCCATCTCAAACCTACCCACAAACGCCGCCACCAACGCCCTCAACTCAGCCCTCGCAAACCGCTCCCCAATACAACTCCGCGGGCCATGCAAAAACGTCAAGAACGCATAATTACTGTCCGCGCCCCCATTCATCGTCGCCCGACCCGATGCCTTGTCGATCCAGCGCTCGGGCACAAACGCCTCGGCGTCTGGGCCCCATAGCTTCGGGTTGCGGTTCACGGCCCAGGGGACGACGAAGAACATTGTGTTTTTGGGGATCGGGTGGCCGCCGACGGTGGTGTCGCGAATGGAGACGCGCGAGGTGAGGGGAATGGTGGGGAAGAGGCGGAGGACTTCGTTGCAGACGCCGTTGAGGTAGGGCATGCTTTCTAGGAGAGCGGCGATGTCGCAGTTGGATGAGGAGAGAAGTTCGGGGTGGGGGATGGATTCGTGGATTTCTTGGCGTAGGCGTGTTTGTATGGTTGGGTGTGTGGATAGGAGGTAGGACGCCCATGTGAGTGCTGAAGATGTGGTTTCGTGTCTGCGATTTGTGAGTAGTGGGAGTACGATGGGATGGGGGGCAAGCTTACCCAGCGGCTAAGAAGGTCAACAGTTGGTCCACGAGATTCTGGTCGGAGAAATCGTTGCTGCGTATCATGATGGACAGAATGTCGCGGCTATCTTGTTTTTCCGAACCTTCCAGTTTCATATTTGCTTTTCTCTCCTCGACAAATTCTGTGCAGATTCTCTTTAGATTACTAGTCGTGATTCTGACCCTCTTGTTCAGTGGCCAGGGCAGTGCGCTGATTAACCACGATGGCAAGACCAGATGGAGAAGAAAGTACAGGCCCTTCTCTGTAGTCGGCTCCAGGATCTCCTCATACGTTGCAATCAGTTCATCCTCGCTGTTGTGCAGAGATCTAATGTCCCGCCCTAGGCCTGCAAGCCCAATGATATCAAGAGTGACTTGCGTAGAGTAATGGCCAATTTCAAGTACTCTCCCCGGGTCTTCTTGAAGAATCGTGCTAATAGTATTGCAAAGCTCGATTGATTTGGACCAAAACACCGGATACAACTCCTTGATATGTCTAAAATGGAACGCCGGCATGATCAACTTCCGGTGGTGCCTGTGTTCATCTCCCTCCGTCATCAGCAGTCCATCGCCCAGGAATTTCCGCAGAAAGTCTCGTGCCCAGGCCGGCTTCTCAAAGTCATAGCTCTTGTGCACCAGTACGTCTGCGATCGTTGCTGGCGCCGTCAGAATCATCCTGTTGCCATGGAAAAGGCCTCGCGCGAGGATGAGGCCATCGTTGGGCGTCTGTTTCATGAGCTGCAGGTGTCCGCTGCCTTTTGGTTCCCTGAACAAGATCATGCTGTGTCCAACGATTGGCTTGAAGCCTTTGCCTACGGGGATATGCCCCAGCGGGTTCCATAAGAAGGGCTGAAACACTAATTGGATTACGAGTCCTTGGCCAAGGAGAACTACCAGCGCCGCGATAAGAATCGGGGACCAACGTGTTTCGTTTGCAGCATAAAACAGTCCGAATAGTACGTTGGCTCCATATAGAAGAATATACTTGAGAGAGGTTGCGTCCTCCATTTCCCGGATGATGGAAAGAAGTGGTGACAGTATGCGATGTTTGTACTTTGCAAATCTAGTTCCAAAGGTAAGAAGACCGCTGTATGCCTATACACATAATTATCTTGACATGACCATATTGTATCGTGTCCGTCTAATTCATGTGAAGTTGTCTAAATCGTGATGCCGCGGCTATGATGAGCCGTTCTCGGACGTGGTTGGACGAACAAAGGGTAAGCTAAAGTCGCTAATGGGGTAAATGGTGCGAGAACAGTTTATCAATTAGGCTTCCACTCTTGACTTTCGTTCCGATCTATCACGGGACCACAGAGCATCCTTGTGGTTGGCAGCAACAAGGTGATTAGGCGTGATGCCGGTGTGCCCTGCAGTGTTCGTGAAGAGTACCGGCATGTAAGCACGAGATGATCCTCATTAAGTTGGTTTTTCTGGCTTGGATGCCGAGAACACTAGGAACACTCATCCTCTGCGATTGATGGGCATGTTCTGAAGATCGACGTTGGCCATTGAGGTTGTATTTCCAATGTCTCGTGCGCATCACGGTTCCTTCTCCGCGGTCTATATACACAAGGTCTGCACTATTCACACTCGCACGGCGCTATGTACCCGTAGCATCTCTACCCAGTCATTGATGATATTTCACAAAACGTATCAAGTGGCCAGTACCAGCGCGCTTACATAGCCCTTGATCCTCGCCCACAAAGTCATTGATATCCATTACTGACAATCTAAATACTATACACTAAGCTTCACATGTAGCCTCTCCGCCGCCCTACGCACTCTCTCCACATCGACTTCCCCCACCTGATCCGGCACAATCGTCCCCCCGAACACGGTGCCCCCCTCTGAAACCAAGGCCTCCAACCCATCTCCACTCGAATAGGCCCAGAAGCGCACATAACGGTCCACAAACTCAATAGACATGGGCGTCCCCGCCGGAACGAAAGCCGTCTCGCCATGCGTAACGAGCACACCAGGCTCGCCATGCACGCTCAGCGAGATGGCTCCGTCTAGCACATGGTACACCTGGTGCGTCTTGAGAAAGGTAAACGGTTTGCTGAGAATGCTGGACGGGTGCCGGTTACTCGACTCTATACTTGTGACGGCAAAGTTCCCCGTCGGCCCCGCGCTCTGCCTCGTTGTGATGAACGGCCGACTCAAGATGCCCTCGAGCAAGTGACAGGGTCCTGTATTCGCTTTGAGATAGTACGCCTGCTGGGTCTCGGGCAGCTTTGTATCGTCCTCTGCAAAGTCCGAGACTGCGGCGCCGACATAGCCTGGTTGGAACACGACGTCGTATTTTTCCTTGATCTCGCGGAACTTGGGTCTAAAGGTATCAAGCGGGTTCCGCGCGTCGTCTTCATCGGCCAACACACCGTCATACGCCTCACTGACGAAGCGGAAGAAATCAACCCATTGGCCTGGCGTGACGAGGCCAACTGTCTCGTTGATACCGTGGTCGAGGAGCTGTGGCTGGTGGACTACACGCGGTGGTGCGTATGCAAAGTCGCCGGGGCCGAGAATCTTGCACTTGTTGTCGAGCCAGACTTTGAGGTGGCCTTTGGTGCATAGGAAGACGTCGTGTGCGTGTTCGTGGTAGTGGAAGCCCGGGGCGTCTGCTACGGCGCCGTCCATGGCAAAGACGGACATGAGGCCCTCTGTTTCTTTGGCAGATGCAAAGATTCGAACGACGGATTTTGTGCCGGGAATTGTCATGGATTCGCCTTCGTAAGCGGAGATGATGTAGGGTGTGGGCTTGCCGAGTGGTTCGCGTACTTTGGGCATGGAGGCTAGGGAGGTGGCTTTGATGCCATTTACAATCTCTGAGGTCATCATAGGCGTGTCGGTATTGACTATGGAAGTGTTTAGGTGGTAGGTTAGTGTAGAGTGGGTAAGGTGTATAGTCGCTAGTGCACAGTGAATGTGTTCTCGAGAGGTTAAAGGTGAGTGAAAGACAACACCTGCGTAAGTTTAAGGGATATACACCGCACACTCGCTATCACACCGAAATGACGTCGAAAGAACAATTCATGATAACCAAGATCCGTCCTCTCCGCAGTTTTTGTACAACCGCCACGCCTTCACCCGACTTCCCGGACACGCCCACATTCGAACCTCGACCCCTCCATCGTCTATCAAACACACACACTTGATAAACGTGCCACGCAAATTCTCATTTAAAACCCAAGGCTGTGCTCCAATCCGGTTGCACAATGTTGTTCTAGAGGTTACGTTCGTCGCACTACACCCCACATATCAGCGGCTCCCGAGTGTGGAGGCACGAGCCGAGGCGTCCGCAATCGTGTTTCCGGAACTTGTTCAAGAACCGCATCGTCAGACTCGCCACCAACGTTGGACCAGTTAGCAAGATACTGCCTTGCACACGTTTACGTAGAAGGGAGCTGAGGAGACGCTATATTCAATGGATGCTTTTCGAATAGTCCTGTGCCGGCGTCCTGGCGCGTGGAAACGTCGCATGATTTTCGACTTGACATATCAACACCCACTGATTTGTGTACCATAGCCATCACCCACCATATATAATCTCTTTCCGTTAAACATCCAACTCCATCTCCCTCGTCTCATCTCACTATCCCCCAAAACTCTCCCCCCAACCCCCTCCCTCACACTCCCTCAACACATACCCAAAAACCCCGACCATGTGGTCGTGCCTTCAAGCACCGAGTCTACCAAAGCTTCCAGTCGCGATACTCTCTCACGCAGATTTTTCCTGTGATCGACAATCACTTCTGGATTGGCATGTTCCTGATCGATGCACCTGCTGCCACGTGCAAAACATTCTGAGCAGACATCCGGGTTGTCAGGTTGAAAGAGAGCATCTAATCTTGCGCCACCGACCTGTATGCTATCATATGATGTCTCAAGAGC